TTCATCTTCCTTTCTGGTCCTATTCCTCTGTCAGTGAAGTTCTCAATTTCAGAAAAGCCCGGCGTGCAGAAGCTACTTTTCAAAGGGCAATTCTGAATTTAGCGAGCTCAGAACTGCAAAGCAGAGGGCGGACTGGGTGATTAACGAGACATGATTTAGAACTCCTTAAAATTAATTTTTTAAAAATGTGCACCTAGCAGAAAAGCCAAAGACAGATCCGAATGCCACTTCAGGTACCATCTGTTCTCATCGTCAAGCTGTTACCATGGCGCCGGAAAACCAACCGGAACATTAACAGAGGCAGAAAAACCCGCCAAGGTCTCTCGTTATTCTACCAAAGGAACTCGGCTGAAGAGAGGAACATTCAGTCACACACACTTATGAGAGACAGCAATTTCAGGGAAACATAAAACGAGACAATTCATAATATGGACAGAATGTTGAGTAGATGGGAAACCACACACCGAGTAAATAACCCAATCACACGGCATTAGGTGTTCACTGACTTTATAGAAACGGTTCACGGTTTCCTCACACGACCCCAGGGAACGCCTGCGCTCAATCCCCCGTGGCTTTTCACTGTTTCGGAATTGTGATGAACTGTCCCTGCTCCCATATTTGAAATTACTTACTTGACTTGTTCACTGAATTAGCAGACTTGCCGGTTTCAATGCCTTTTCCTGTCAGAAACGCTCAAGATGGCTAAAGATAAGCAATGTCCCTTAAAGGGCTATATTCCAGTGACAATATGGACACAAATCAACAGATGGAAGGATAGAGAAACCCGGGAGAGGGAAAGGTGGGCTTTTTCGATAAAGGGGGCTGTGTCTGCTGGGTATCTAGGTGAGGAAAACAAACAGGAAGGAGTCTTGATATGCTACACCATAAAAAAAACAAAACAAAACAATTCCAACCAGACCAATGGGCTAAATGTCCCAGCAAAACCTTCAGCATTAAGCATAATCTCAGGTAAGCAAGTGTTTCCAAAATAGGAAACCAAGCGCCAGCTGGAGGGGAGGTCACTCACTGGTAACCAGGACTACGGTAGACAGATTTCTGCTCACCTGGGGGCCGTAATAAGGCAACAGCAAAGTCACCAGACTGTGAGAAGACATCACACACACACACACACACACACACACACACACACACACACAGGCCTCAGCCAAACAGGCACGGAAATACAAACCACAAAGGAAAACCCATATAACTAGGTTCTTTGCCAGAGGATATAATCGGAAAACACTGACAAGGAAATCAGCAATCCAAGCCGAGCTCACCAGAGCGGAACTAAGGGCTCCCACTACCAGGTGTGGCACTAACGTCGCCCTGTGCAGACCTTTGCGGGGTAATGTCTTTGGAAATCAGTTTGCGAGTCGCCTGTAGCTGACAGGTTATTTTGTCTGATTCAGCTGTTCGGAGGCAGCCATCAACGCAGCGGGATCTCTGCCTGTTTGCACAAGAACGTTTGCAACAACCCCATAGCCGAACAAGCGGGTACTGTGGGTTAACACTGAGTTACACACTTGTGAATATGGGAGAAACTTAGCTACACACACACACACACACACACAGTCACACTGAGAGAAAGACGACTACATGCTACAAGAGCGCATTTGAAAATGGGAAAGATTATTGTGTATCAAAAGACAAAGTTGACTTTGGCGGAGGATTTTGACTGGGATAAAGTTTCTGCCGTTATCTGGGACCTGTTTTGAGTTCTGGGTACAGGTTGTGCTAACTTCTTTGTGTACCTTTCTGTGTGCAGGGCATTCAAAATCCTCTTTTGAGAGGATATGCCAGCTCTGTTAATCTCACCTCAAAAAGGAAGGGGGGGGGGAAGAGCTCCTAAAATTATGTGACCATAAAATCTGATAGGAAGTTGATCTGGTGCCTTCGGGCTCGCCAGGGTATTAGGTAAACAGGAGTTAAGTTCATTGACCACTTTCTCTTCAACACACAGATAAGCCAAGACTATCTCTCTTGGTTATGACGTTAGATTTTTGCTGAACTTTATGGAACTGGGTTGAGAGGATCTGTCCACCATAACAGCAGAAAAAATTAATAAGAAATCTATAGTCATGCATGCTGTTGTGGTCCCCATAAGCTCATAGGGAGTGACACTATCAGGAGGTGTTGACTTGTTCAAGAAAGTGCGTCACTGGGGAGGTGAGCTTTGAGATCTCATATAGGCTCAAGTCACGCCCAGTGTCTCAGTTCACTTCCTGTGAGAATCAGATGTAGCTCCTTCCCGACTCTCAGCCACGTCTCCAGCACTATGTCTGCCCGCATGCTGCCATGTCCCGTCATGATGATAATGCGCTAACCCTCCGAACTGGAAGCCAGCCCCAGTTAAATGTTTTCCTTTACAAGAGTTGCTGTGGTCACGGTGTCTTCACAGCCATAGAAACACGAAGACAGCTACATCGTGACTAATTTATGATTATTAATAAATGATCTTCATATCAGGAAGGATAGCAGGCCCCTCAAAGGTCTGGATGAGATGCACTAGAAACAGGCTTGTTCCCCTTTGTGGCTGTTGAGAGCAGAGAGAAGGGCTGGAGAGAACAGAGATGCAGAGGCCGCAGATGTGCAGACCTGTGTGTCCTGCAGAGAGGCCGCAGATGTGCAGACGGGCATTAACTTACGGCTGTTTTGCTCCAGGTCAGAAGAGCCCCACGATTCTTCCCTTCCACTCTCCTGTGTCTGTCTTAGTGAGTCTCAATGCTGCAGTATTTTACAGAAATGTCACAGCCATCCTAAACACATAACAGAAGAGACACAGCAAGGAGGCCACCCAACCCTCCCCGAGAGAAGAGTGGCCATTTGAAAGTTTGCCCGTTGTAAAATATCTTGCCTATTAATTACAAAGGGATTCGAGAATTCCATTTGTTCTGATAAGTATTTTAATGAGCTATGCTCTAATTGTGAGGATATTCAATTACGTGAGCTTTATTGCCATCAGCACACGGCTGTAACGGTGCGACAGGAAAACGGTTCACTGTCTTAGCTTTCAGAGTCCTCAAGGCTGAGAGGGTGTGCCTGCGATTCACTGACCACTTGGCCTGCTTGCTGCTGTTACAGACAGAGGCCCCTCCCCTCTGGAGACTAATCAGGGACATTCAGATGAGCTGGCGGCCTTATAGCTGGGCTCTGGCTCTGAAGAACTATGTTAAAAGTCTGACATACAAAGCCAGAATCAATCTTGCGGAGCGCATCTATGTTTGCGCCCCTTCCTCATGGGTGCTCGATGGCGATCAGTCAGGAGTAACTCCACTAGCACACTGCCCACACTGGCAATGATGCCTTGGGGACCCATTGCCTGCTTTCCCATCTGTTACATCTGTTAGTCACCTGGGGGCTGGGCAATCTTGAGTGACGCTTGGGAACAAGCTGGGGCCATGTGGCCTACCCAGGATGCCTAAGAACTTGAGTCCCGCCAGCACCTTCTCTCCATTGCAGGGGACCGGCACGTCCTCTGAGGGCCCAGTGACAGCAAAGTGACAACCTCTGGACAGACACTAGAGGCCTTTTACTTTTGAAACAGAGCCTCATTGTGGGTCTCAAACTCACAGAGATCCAGTGGCTTCTGTCTTCAAGGTGCCGGGATTAAAGGTGTGCACGATTATGCTAGCCAGGAGAAGGATTTAAAATACAAGGGGATGCCAGTATTTCTCTTAGTGGTTCTCAGCGTCTGGGTTCCTCTGGGGAGCAGGCCATTCTAAACCCAAGAGCAAGAGTTCAATGATCTAATTAAAAAAATCTCCAAATATGACTTCCACAATCCACTTTCATCGTTCTTTTTTTTTTTTTATAAATATTTATTTATTTATTATGTATACAATATTCTGTCTGTGTGTATGTCTGCAGGCCAGAAGAGGGCACCAGACCCCATTATAGATGGTTGTGAGCCACCATGTGGTTGCTGGGAATTGAACTCAGGACCTTTGGAAGAGCAGGCAATGCTCTTAACCACTGAGCCATCTCTCCAGTCCCTCATCGTTCTTTAAATTTAGGTTTTTACAGACTCCTCACCTTCACACAGAAGGAAGCAAGACTTCCCTAGCAGACAGAGGCCCAGTTCACATAGCGAGTTCTGCGACAAAAGCAGATACTGGCAACGCTATCCTTACAAGGCACCATGATGAACATCACATCTCTGAATCTGGCGTGCGGTGGGAAAAGTTACCAAGTGGATTCATACTATGGGCCCTTCGCGCTCAGTTCCACTCAAGAAGTGATTCCTAGCCAGAGGAGACATCACGGGATGCCTCCCGCAAAAGGAGGTGCCGCTGTGAGAACTTGCTCTCTGTGGCATCTTGCTAGGAGAAAATGGCAGGAACAACGTGTCCACGGACACACGAGCTTTTGACAGAACTATGCTGTCTTTCCCATGAAGCCAACATGTTACGGACTGCGAGAGCCGCTGAAGGGGTAACCTCGAGAGGCAGACACAGAGTGGACAGGCAGCGAGTGAATGAATGAAGTTCATGACCCTTCACCCTGAGCAGTGCCCTGAATGTCCTAAGTGTGGTTAGTAACTGTGGGAGGCAGACACGGAGTGGACAGCCAGCAAGTGAATGAATGAAGTTCAAGACCCTTCACCCAGACCAGTGCCCTGAATGTCCTAAGTGTGGTTAGTAACTGTACGTACACACGGTTGGAAACATCGGTGAGCACCCCGCTGCTCCCCTACAGCAGGAACTATCAACTCAGCACCTCAGGAACGGAAAACAACACATCTCTTCCACCTACGCCAATAAACACAGAGACGCCTGACAATTTCTTTTATCAGAATTTTTTTTTTTTAAAGTACAAAAATCAAAAGAAAATCCCCGGAGAATATTCTCATTGACCGATTACGGATACAAAATGATTAGTGAAAGTCGTCAACATGGAGACCGTACAATGTCCGGATGGAAAACTTTTCTGCGGCACGTTAGACACGTCACATATGAAAATAGCTCGAGATACAAAACTAGAGCTGTGATTCCAGCACATGGCACCAGATTTAGAGCAATTTTATTATTTAACATAATCCCGATGTATATACAGTGTCCTCCCAAATAAGAAACAGTTTGATTCCAGAATTTCAAATGTGGTTTCCAAAGTGAATTCTTATTGTCAATTTCAAAGAACAACAACAACAAAAAGAAGCCCTGAAAACTAATTCTAATTTTGATCTTTGACTAAAATACACACCCTGAACCTCTCGTATACAAAAAAAAAAAAATGTATATTATAAATAAAACTTCCAAAGGCGATCCTGGATGCTTTATTGCACATCGAAGAGAAGGTCTGCCGCTGTGAACGGCTCTCAGCCTTTTCTTACGCTGCCGACTCCGTGAAAGCACCGTGGGCTTCTCGAGTCCCATCCCGTGCTTCTTTGGAACCGCAACGAAGCATTCTGCTTCAGTTACCGTCCCTCAAGCCAGAGTAACTTCTGCTTTCTGAACAAATAAATGTGCACGTCTAAATGTCAGTTTTCTCTCTTTTCCAATAGATAACAAAACATAGAGGAATTTCACCCAATCGTCCGTCTCCAATCCCCCAGGGCCGCCAGCTTCTCTTCTGTTGTTACATCGCGCTACAGGGTTCCCGCTAATGCCATCATGGCTAGCGGTATCCTTTGGCCTCAATCTCTTCTACCTCCTTAGCTATTGTTTCGCCAGCACAAATCAGCCAGAAGGCAACAGTTTTAAAAATAAAAATGTTCCGAATAAGTTTCAGCACAGTGCCCAGCAAAAAGTAGGCGTTCAATAAATATCTGATAAATGAATGTAAGCCCCCTCTTCACGTTTACATGTACTAATGATTTACGGGTAACATGTGGGTTTACGGGACACAAGTCTCGAACGTTAACTGAGGAGAAAACACGTAGGAGGTGGAAGCGGACATTGTCAGTTTCTAAAATCCTTCCCAGGACAGACTGTGGACTTAAGGATTAACTATTCCAATAATTAAAACAGATTAGTCAAATACTTTTAATTTTGCCAAAGGACTCTACCAGCTTGCCTTTGGCAACCCCCAAACATACAGCGAGCCCCCAAATAAAACAAAATCAAATTGCACTATTACGGAGAGAGACAAGTCCATGGAGGGCAGAGGCGTTCCTCGCTCAAGGGACGGCGACTTCCAGGAGCCGATTGTTCTTCCGCTTGCAGGTCGGCACGCTCCCGTTTTTCTGGGCGCCTTGGATAAACTTCACACACACTTTGTCCTGTCTGAACTGCACCAGGAACCTAGGAGAAGAGAACCAAACACACTCAGGAGCACACACAAAGCAGGTGAGGGTGCGGTAAACACCAGCTTCCCTTTTTGAAAGGGCCATGACCATGGGAGGCACTCACGACCCGCCTCCATTGCAAGCCACGCCCACTACAAAGCCACGCCCATCACAGGCCACGCCCACACCCCTCATCTACCAGCCCCAAGGAAAGGAAGTTCCTGTATTCCAGCAGGGTGAGGTGAGACAGCGACTGCTTTGTGTTTCAGTGGGGCCATCACATTAACAGGCTGCAGCTCCACCTTTCCTCATTTTTTCATGGCCAACTTTTTAAAGGGTCAAATTAAACATTCGCAGAATCAGACACACGAAATGTGGACTTTCAGAAAGCTATCCCACAGGCACCCTACCCCAGTGGTCTCATCAGCCAGCTCAGGACCTTTCCCGCTCAGGACCTTTCCCCATGGACCTGGGGGAACAGCCTCCTAAAGCACTGGGGCATTCCTGAGTGACTCACCTAGCAAACCTGTGGTTAATGGTACCGACGCCCACAGCAACCACAAGGGCAAAGACTCCATGGTTCCGATGTATATGCGAGCCCCAGTTAAAAGGCAGGGTTTTACACATACCATCTCACGGGGTGAATTACGCCAGCTTCTAATTCATACACTATTCTATTTATTTTGTGTGTGCTCAGGGGCACGTGTATGTGTGTGTGTCTGTATGTGTGTGTGTGTGTATTTGCTGTGCATGTGTGTGCGGCTGCATGGGTATTTGCTGCATAGGTTAGAGTTCAGCTTTCGGTAGAGTTCCTCTGGGAACTAACTATCTACCTTGTCCCTGGAGAGAAGGTCTCTTACTAGAACTCACGGCTCACCAATTATGCGAAACTGACTTACCAGCAAACCCTAGGGAACAGTATGCCTTCCTGGCACTCTAAGGATTACCAGTAGGAGCTACCTTTCCAGCACTCATTCATGGTGATATATAAATTAATAGAAATGGGTTAATTTAAGATGTAAGAGCTAGCTAGAAATACACCTGAGCCATTGGGCCAAACAGCGTTGAAATTAATATAGTTTTTGTGTGATTCTTCAGGTCAGGGCAGCTGGGAAATGAGCGAGCACTCTTAGTTGGGTTCGTTGATGAAACTGGAGAACCAAACCCAACAGGAAAGCAGAAAGCGAAGAGTGTACTGCACACAAGACATGGACATACTCATCCGAGATCTCGATATTGAGCTTCTGGTTGGTCTGGCTGAGGGTCGTACGATACAGCTTGGTGGCCATCTCAATCAGGTGGTCACTGCTGAAGAGGAAATCCCCTTTGCTAGCTGCTTCTGAGCCCTGCAAAGACAAGTCATGAGTCAGAGAGAGGAGGGAAAGGCTCCCGGGTTTGAGGGGAACCTCTGATGCTGGGGTTCATCCTCCAGATGAGTGGCAAGGACAAGACTAGATACCTCAGTTTGGTCATGGACCAGAACAGCAATCTGTAGGCCCCTGGAGAAGAAGCCACAAGAGTCGTTTGTGGTGGGCTTGCATAATTAAGCTTTACGGGCAACTACCCAACTTACAACTCAAGCTCAAAGCGCCCTTCAAAAACCTTTCAGTGATTTGGTTTTAAGAAGCCACACAGGGGCCAGCGAGATGACTCAGTGGGTGAAAGGGCTTGCCACAAAGCCTTGAGGACCAGAGTTTGATTCCCGGGACCGACAGAGTGGAAAGAGAAAACCGACTCTCACAAATTGTACCGACTCCTACCAACAGACACACAATAGATAATTATAAAAAATAGTGAAAAACCAACAACCAATTCTTTTTAAGGAAGTTAACAACAAAAACCCTTCGAACAAACTCCCAGAGCAGCTGAGTACACTCAGCTGCCCGGAGCGTCACCAGGAGACTCAGGCGACAAACAGGATGCTGAGGTCCCAGGCTGAGAGCTCTGCAAGGATTAGACGGGGGCGTGGCCAAGACAGCGGCAGATCTCCAAACCCCGCCCCCAGCTGTCACTTTTGTGTCACTGATGCTAAGAGCAGCTGTTCTTATGGCATGATATGCCTCCATTTGGATTTAGATCCGTGGTGGCTAAGGAAAGTCTCTGGGTTTTTTCTATACGTATTAGTAGATGCTAACATCTGTTTATTTGGTGATGACAATTGTGTGACAGTCACTCTGTGAAGCACGTACGTACAGTGTGTGTTAAGCCTGCTGATGGGGGAGTGTCATATATCAATCTGTTGATTTCATTGGTTAAGCAATAAAGAAACTGCTTGGCCCTGATAGGTTAAAACATAGGTGGGAGGACTAAACAGAACAGAATGCTGGGAGGAAGAGGAAGTGAGCTCAGAGAGACGCCAAGCTCCCCTCTCCCGGGCAGACGCATGTGATGAAGCAAGCCGCCAGGTCAGACATGCTGAGTCTTTCCCGGTAAGACGGGTGCTACACACAGATGGATCGATCGAGATATCAGAATTAGCCAGTAAGGGCTAGAGCTAATGGGCCAAGCAGTGTTTGAATGAATACAGTTTGTGTGTTGTTATTTCAGGGCATAAGCTAGCCAGGCAGCCAGGGTGCTGGGGACGCAGCCCCGCTGCTCATATTACAACAGCCTGCTACCAATGTTATGTAGTAGATACAATCATTTTAAAGTTGAGATTAGTGAAGAGTTACAAATAGCATGGGCCCAGGAATCAAAATAAAAATCCAGTGCCTACACTTTAGCCTTTCTATTCAAGCCAGTGGTCCTTCGTAGGTAAAAAGCATAAAATATTTTAAAAAAAAAAGTTAGGTCAAAATCAATGGCAAAGGTTTTCTGGTAGTTGTAGCCAGTAATAAACCCCCAAGTCAAAGGTAAACAAGAACAAAGGCAACATTTTTCAAGTTGTCACACAGAAGCAGCACCAGGAAGAAACATAGTATCAAACGTCTCCACACGACATCTTCAAGCATTACTCTTGGAAGTCCTGTGAGCAAGCCATGGAACGTGTAATTCAATTCCTGAAAACGGAGCCTGAGATTTTAGACGTGGGTGTAAACAGTCAAGCTTTATAAGTCAGCAGCGGTGAGAGAGGCAGGGCGAGGAAGGTGGGGCCGTCTAGTCAGTAGATGGGAAAAAGGACGCCAGGAGCGGCTTCCAGGTCAGACCGCTGGGGGAACCTTACCTCCTTGAGGTGGACGGCAAAGAAGCCATCGTTCTGTGAACTCATGGAGACCTTGGTCACATCCACCAGGGGGACCTCGGACTTGATCTGCCCGGACTTTTGGTCAGCAAGGAGAAGGTTATTGTTTGTCAAGAGGAAAATCCGGGACGTGCTCTGAGACAAAGACACAAAAGCATGTCAGGACTGAGGACCCAAAACACTCCAAAATGGCGCCTACATGCAGATCAAGGAGCAGTCACTTCCAGCAGTAAACATGTTATTCTGCTGTCCTTCAGCAGGCATATGTATGTAGACAGACACACTTAAATAACGCATTCTGAAAACTTCATGTATGTGTGATAAGAAACTTTGCGAGCATGACTCTGTGGTCGTGTACACAGGTGCACACGCGTGGAGGCGGAGCAGGGTCCTGGGTGTCATCTACCTCTCTCCCCCTTATTCCCCCGAGAAAGAGCCTCTCAGCGATCTGAACCTCTCTGTTTCTGCTAGGCTGGCTGGCCCAGCTCCCAGGATCTTCACACTCTGGTGTGGGGTGATAAGCAACCACAACACGGCCAGTTTTTTGGTTTTTTCTTTTGTTTTTTTTTTTTTGATGTGGGAGCTTGGGATTTGAACTTGGGTCCTCATGCTTGCAGAGCAGGGTTTTTAATCCATTGAGCCATCTCCCCCGTGCTTATATTTTCAATTTCTGGGAATTCCAGGAAACAGAAGAACCTTTCCAAGTTTAGAGAGGAGAGATTCCTCCACAAATCCCAACACTACTAGAATGTGCGATGCAAACTGGACTAAAGCAGAAATAGGGAAAGAACTCTGCTACACCGGGCGGTTGACGCTTTTACCTTCCCATTTGCGCGGTTAATTTTGTTCACGACCTCGGCAATAATGATCTTCTCTTCAATGGCGTCTTTGAGTTTCTTATATTTGGGGTTCTTGTTGATTTCCAGGTAAGCTCCTTGGAATGGTTGCCCAACACTACAGGGGAGAAACAAATCCTGTACCTTAGAAATGGCTTCAGACAGGCGACACAGTCAGAGGGGGACAGGCCAGGGGATCTTAGGGAATAAATAAGTCAGGAAAGTGACTTCAATTGATTTTACTCTTTGCACAAGCACCTGTTTTAGAGCTGGGTTAGAAACAACGCCCTAAACCTATGTCAAGACTATTTTAAAGCAGCCAGGGGCAGCTGGTCGGTGGGGCTGTGATAAAAAGCTCACTGGTCATGATCGGGACAGAGAGCACCCTGTACGGCCAGAGTCAAGCGCCGGGCCCTGTGTGAAGGAACGGACACCAGAAAGTTAACAGCTGCCCACACAGGGCACACCAACCCACGTGAACAACGTAAGCCAACGACAAAGAACGACATCACCACCATCCTGCTCCAAAGACAAATATCATTTTCGCACAGAGAGTAAGAAAGTCAACGACCTGCAGGGGCAGGCTAGACCTAGGGCTTGTCAATCACGTAACAGTTCTTGATTTTTCCCATGGGACTCTGGAGACTCAAGACGACCTCACTAAGATGTCCCGGAGGTGACAGGCACTCAGACACAGCCAGAACCCTTTGCTTCTGCCCAGAGGTCGCTCAAGTGCGCTCTCCTGGAGACACAGTGTGCGTGCGTGCGTGCGTGCGTGCGTGTGTGTGTGTGTGTGTGTGTGTGTAGAAGCTCAGGGAAGAAAAATCTACGTAGGCGGCTGGCCCTTTAAGCTCCATGGCGGCAGCATGAGGAGGCACCCAGAGGCATTGCTGCTTCACAGCTCGGGGAGGTACATTCTTCCACGTTGCCCTCAGGTGAAGAGAACGGGCCACCTCCTCCAGAAACTGACACCGCCTCCCCGCCAGAAGGGACTTGCCTTGAAGCTCACTTTGTGTTCAGTTAATTGTGGTTTTAATAATAAAAAAAAAAAGCGCTAAGAGCCTAATTTTAGTCCGTTTCCTTAGCGATACATTCTATCACTAAGTCCACCCCCGCCCCCCTGCCATTCTAGGGTCTTCTATGGGAGATGTTTAAGAAGGTTGCTGCTGCTGCTGTCTAACTTGAGACGTATAAAGAAAAGGATGAATAAAATCAGTTCCTGAAGAAAGCACACCACTTTTCTGTTGGTTGGCATAATGCTCACACAGTGGGCATGTTAGACAACTTTGGATTTAGTCACGCAAGTATTCAAGTAAGCAGCTAATGGGAGAAATACTGCAAATTAGAATATTCAAACCCAACGGGCCTGGCAACTGTGCTAATTTAACCCTTTTATCTTTTTTTTTTTTTTTTTTTTTTTTTGGTTTTTCGAGACAGGGTTTCTCTGTAGCTTTGGAGCCTGTTCTGGAACTAGCTCTTGTAGACCAGGCTGGCCTCGAACTCCCAGAGATCCGCCTGCCTCTGCCTCCCGAGTGCTGGGATTAAAGGCGTGCGCCACCACCGCCCGGCCTAATTTAACCCTTTTAAAGGTAGAGTTTTGAACCATATATACAGATAAAAATAATACAGGTACATGAAATACATAGGACTACTTGGTAGGCAATACCAAGCCCTTCATTTCTAGATCTTTAGGAAAAGCTACAAGTCACTGGAGATTCTGGTTTGAAATTACACAACCACTTGTTTATATGAAGACTAGATGAAGGAGAACAGGAATGTGGGGGGACTGATGGATGGATGTAGGATTCATGGGACACTCGGATATGCCAAGTCCTTTGTCACGGGCTGGACTTGCTGCATCTGCAATGTGTTTATTCTTTTCCGGAGTTCATGGTGTCCACAGCGAATGACCTGAACTTTTGTACAGGTCACCGAGGTTATGACTAACCATTTAGCAGCCAAAGGACACCATGGGTCCAGGCTTAAGTAACAAGAAAGAGTAATGACCGACGGTCTGTTCCTGGCGTTGACCTTACAAATGAGTTTCTGACCTGGCTTCATACTGGCAGGAAGATCTGAACACTGATTACAGTTCAATGCAAAAATAGCCTTAAAAACAGGGTGTCCGATGACAATTCATCCCAACAGCCACAGAACTTTCAACTGGCATGACCTCCTGTTTACCAAACGATTTAAGCTAAGGCGAATAGAGCAAAGCCAACGACTGTAATCCTTCTACATGGAGGGAGCTCCCCAGTCTTAGGTGTATGGATACCCAGTGGTCTCGGAAGTCATTCACAAAAGTACCATGCATCTATTACTGAAATGAAACCTAGAAAAGATGCTGAGACATGTTTGAGAAAGCAATTAGCACAGCAGAGGCATTTCTGAGCAAGCACGAGCATACACACCTGGAAGGATACAGAGCCTTCTTGTCTTTGAAGAGTTCACTGGCCTCTAGCTTCTCCTCGTAAATAAGTTTCTGCTGGTCTGTGAACTGGTCCCTGTATTTTTTACACTGGGAGATACAAGAAGAACATACACAAAGAACTAATGAGACAAATTCTTGGGGTTTCAGCTTTTGCTTTGTTCTGAGACAAGAAAGGGTTTCTCTGCAGAGTCCTGGCTGTCCAGGATCTCACCATGGCTGACCTTGAATTCAAGAGATGAGAGATGCTTACCTCTCCCTCTCAAGGGCTAGGATTAAAGGTGTGCACCACCATGCCTGGCCAATTTCCTTTGTTCTTTTTTTTTTTTTTTTAAAGATTTGTTTATTTATTACATATACAGTGTTCTGCTTGCATTTATACTTGCAGGCCAGAAGAGGGCACCAGACCCCATTACAGATGGTTGTGAGCCACCATGTGGTTGCTGGGAATTGAACTCAGGACCTCTGGAAGAGCAGTCTGTGCTCTTAACCTCTGAGCCATCTCTCCAGCCCCCAATGTCCTGTTCTGAAGCATGCTAAACTTAGAAGAGCAGTGAAAACCATTCATTTGAAAAGACAAACCCACTTTGGTTTCTAAAAGTTGGTCTTAAGAAGATGTTATGAGGCATTTGTGTTGCAGATTTTAGAATGCTTCTTCAAAATATAACAACAGGGTCTAAGTGGCCTATGCCCAGGGAGTCTAGATTCATTCTGCTACAATGGAAACCCCAAGGACCTCCGGGCCTGGCTGTCATTCCTGAACACACACTCACAAGCAATAGCACTATAGGGGACAGTATGGTAATCCCATGCAGATTTACACACACACACACACACACACCCCTCTAACCCAGGAGTGTGCATTCTTACTTTTGAATTACTGCTTTTCATTGTAAGATGCTGGCAGTAGCTGGACATGTCTGTCAACACTCAAACCCCAGCGTTTGGGGGGTCTGAGGCAGAAATTATATGACCTCTGAAAAAGACAATGTCACGCGTTTTACCCGCCACAAGTGGAAGATCCTTTTCAGCTCCTTGTGCGTCGAGTCCAAGAACAGGTAAGGCCTCGGTGGCCAGTTCTTGTCTATTGGCGACAAGGAAGGCATTTTGTTTTTCATTTCCAGGAAGTATTTTTGCACCTACATTGGGTTGGACAAGAAAATATCAGATGGGGAAAAGACCCCAGAGAGATGTACGGACCCATCATTCAACCAGTCTTTAAGAGAGTTGATGGGTCTGAGTCCATAAAGTTGTGTATCTCCTCTGATAATTCTACCTAATGCTCTTATACCTATGGGGCGGGGCAGGGGGAGATCTGTGATCTGCACCAAACATTCATCAGGAAAGATGACGACAGACATAGTTACTGCTATCAGCACTGGTTTACACCAATGCCATGGGAGGGCTGCTCCGTTCAACAGGGAGCCATTCACAGCATGTGGCTACTTACATTTTAGAGAGCTAAAATTAAATAAAGGACTCAGCCATACTTCCCAAGCGCTGGATATAACCGTACATGGATAGTGGCTACGCACTGAAGTTATGGAACACATTCATCACTGTAGCAAGTTCTAGACAAAGCTATACTGTCCAACAAAGATGCTCCCTAATCTGGGAGGTTTCAACTCCTGAAATTCTGACTTTACGATGTGCATGAGCAAGGCGTACTTAGCAGAAACCACACTTCACAGTCTGATGTCTGGAGGGGCCGGTGGGGGCAGCGCAAGGCTCTCCTAAGAAACTAGGCCGCGAGTCCTGGGCTCAGCGAGTCAAGCAATCACGACTGACCACTGACAGATTTTCTACACGGGCCATGGTGCTAAGCTGCGACGCTCGGTAGGTTGGGTGTGGCGAAAGCACTCTTGGCATAAGATATTCTCAACTTAGGATGTCGCATATATATGATGTGTCATTCCACATGGGCCAGGCGCTGGGAAAGCCTTATCATTGCTCAAAGTAAACACCTCCCGTGACCAAATGAGAACCACAGAAGTTACTCGCCCACCCGTGTTATATAAATAAACAGAAGTCCTGGCTGACACCAGCGTTTACAGGTTCGCCACAGGACACCCTCTAGCAGGGCAACTCCAAAATCCAGCCTGACCCGCCTTTGCTTCCGGATGCCTTGCTGCCATCGACCTATTTACAAAGCCGACCCTCCAGAGCCCATAGCAGTTTAACAGGGCAAAAGCCTGGCTCTCCTCACGGCCTCTTCTTAGTTTTCTATGCCAAATAAAATAAGCATCTGATCAATCCTATCAATCACAGGCCCCTGACAGTCCTGACACAACTGTATTTGAACCCGCTGAAGACCCAAACGGCAACTAATGGTCTTTTAAAGCTACGATTCATGTCAGATTTTAAAAGTCAGATTTGATTGAGTTGGTGCTATTAAGTGGTTAATTGAATAAGGCTAATTAGCTATGGGGGGGGGGCGGTCAACTTACAATTCTCTGAAGCGTAAACTCATAGATTTTCTTCCCAGCGTTCGCTCTGAAGAATTTCCTGTATTCCCGGCGCACCTTTCAAAGGAAGTAGAGAGGGTTAGAACGAGGCTGGCGGGGGCTCACCGTGGTGACGAATCTCTTTACACATCAAAGCGTACGGAACCCATATATTTATAAATATATTGCTGGGTTGAGAGAACTGACGGTACACACTCAGGCAGTGGCGGTTACGTCAGAGGGAAAGAGACTCGGGGGAACCAATACGTTAAATCCTATTGGTTTTTACACAGGCTGATAATTGGACATGAAACCCTCTACAGGGCTAGCTGGTCATAAATCAGAGCACGTTTCATAAAGTATTTTATGAGGCAATTTCTCCTTCAGATGTTTTTGAGAAACGGTCTGAAGAACTAGGTCGAAGCTTCCAAGGATCCTGCATAAAAACCCAGGACCTGACTAGCGGACAACAGAATGGAAGCAGCTCAAAGTAAGAATCTCAGGTGCCTCCAGGCCATCGCTGTCTTTCATTTGATTGCCAAATGTCACACCTCTTATCGCGGCACTGAAGGCATCACGCCATTTTGCACAGAAACTCCCCCCACAGTGCGACATGATAATAATCTACTTCATATATTGATGTCTCATAACTAAGTACGGCGTCCACCGAATTAATGAGTATTACAGTTAAACACTGAAGCCGCAGGGGACATAGAAAGCGTTTATCATCATCTACTTATGAACGGGAGTTAGAAATTAGCAAAACGTCAACCCCTCTGTGTAGCTCGGTGTTCTACCTATTCTCTCTCCCTTCCCACTTTCCTGGGCTGAAATACATATGCTTAACATATCTGTCTAATGGGCTTTGTGGAATAGAGACCTATAAGCCAAGCTCAGTCTGTAGGTAACTTTATCCTTATGTTTTTACAGAACGGTTTCACGGTCACGGGTTTCTCCTAATGTTTTTTTAAAGCTCCAGTAACAGTGATCCCCATTTCTACGGGACAGGGGAACCCCAGTAGCCTTTGTTGAGAGCTGCAGGTTCTGAAATGTACATAGCCAATCATACCTAACCAGCCTGCTGTGTTCCTCATCTACACGCCCACCCTCCAGGCATCTATACAACAGCTAAATGTTACACTTTGACATATACTCCACACAGCCAGCCCTTTTTAAAATCCACGTCCTAACTGTCATGTCTCTTTCAGGACTTCATAACCATTGCAGACCTCCAGCTTCCAAAGGTCAAGGGGAATACAGAAGAAAGCAGGCAAGCTAAAGGAGTCTGTCACTGGGAGCACAGCCAGAGGCGATGCCGAAGTCCTGGATCAGAGATCGGAGCTGTCGTCAGGCTTCTGACACGCCACGGGATAAATGGCAGCTCCGCGAATAATGCTCTGTACCATAAAAACTTGGTGAAATCACACTCTTCTCACCGGCATCATAAAATGGCCAGTGTACTTTGTATTTAGTTATACAAGCAAATCAAATCGTTTCAAAGGACATTTCAAAATATTGCTCATATCGACATAACTTGTGTTTGGGAAAAAATGACAAGATTACTACAATCTGAAACTTCAAAAAAAGGTTTTATCTTATTTTCTAACAGTAATAATGGAAACAGGATAAGCTACTTCTGTCTCATGAGGAACTGGGGCGTGTGTGTGTGTGTGTGTGTGTGTGGCGGGGGGTGAGTTGCAATTGGGGCGAGCCCAGAGAATTCACCTGCAGGCTGAGCGTGTTCAGCCAGCTGGGGCTGACACCTTCCCAGTGCCAAAGCAGCTGGAAAGACTCTGCATTGAAACCTGGAAAACTGCAGATCTGACAGGCAGGAGTCAGCACGGAGAAGAAGGTCTGTATCCAAACCTGCCTGTTTCCCTCTTCTTATTAAAATTATGATGCAAATTCGAAAGCACGAAATGTTTCGTTTTGCTTGGCTTCTGAACAGAACTCGCATAGAACGGATGCAGAATCTGTCCAATAGAACATCCTCTAAACTCTGTTGATGCTACATCTTAATTATCTTATGAATGAATACTCATGCTGCTCAAAAAGGATAATTAACTAAACATTCGTAGGAGGGACTTTCAGGGGAACATGGAGGTGCAGAGTTGATGACCGCTCGGCTAATTTTCAAATATTCAGAATAAGAGCTAGTGTCCCTGGACTGGTAGGAACGCTGAGGAGGACTCGTGTGAAAAAGACCCTGATCGCCCTCGACAGGCTATGTGGATGTCTTACTACGCTCGATGATCACTAAGCAGGTAGACCGAATCCTCCTATTGCCTGAAGGTTTTCAGTGCTCAGGGCCACATTTTCTTATTTACTTGGGTGTGCCTTTCCCCCCTGGACCAAGCACATGGTTCTCTCCATTTCAGGATCCCCATCATCTCATTCAGCAGCCTTTCTAAGGTTCCTAAAGCAAACACGCTCATCCATGCTGGGGGCCATGATCACTTGGAAGAAAGTTCTGCTCCAGCCCTCTGTGGGGCAGCCCAGAAGATGGGGAACAAAGCCTGCCACTCCCTCTTAGGCTACTGTGGAAGGAAGACGGCTTCGAACTCAAAGATCACACTCTGCCTCATGATTTAAAAGCTCATACAAAGTTGGGTGGTGGTGGCAATTGCTTTTAATCCCAGTATTTGGGAGGAAGAGGCAGGTGGATCACTGTGAGTTCGAGGCCAGAGGCTAGCCTGGTCTACATGTCTTAGACAAAATATACTGCATCACACTCATTATTTACATTAAAATTACAGTAAAATGAGAAACTTAATGTGTAGTTGCTTTCATTTTTCCCCCCACTGAAAAAGAAACAAGATTAGGCAAGCTGACATTTCATAAGGCTGCACAGACAGCAGCAAGCGCCGCCAGGTTTTTCGGGTTAGTAGGTGCGAGGCTTTACGGGGTGGGGGGGTCTTCACCCAGGGCAGGAGGAAGTCACGATGGAAGTACCTTCAGTCCAAGCCAGTAAGCCCAAATGACAGCAACTGCATGCTTACGCCTAGCCTCTTCCTTCAAGCGTTTCAATTCCCTCCGAGCCTAGAACGTTTTAGATAGTAAGTAAGAGAGAGCCCATTGCAGACAGCACAAATGACCAGAAAAAGACACCCCCGACCAAACAGGAGAGCCAACATTTGAGCGGGGCTACAGAATGGCGGAGGAACAGTGCACACTCATTTCAACCCAAGGATTCGGCGTAGAGCTGGTACAGCGGCCTGGATGTAGGTGCAAGGACAACTGTGATCACTCCTCACGCGCACCCCTCCTGTCTCCTCGGTCCCTACTCCTGCCTCCACAGTGGCTCAGCTCCCTCACAGAGAGAGCTCACTATCCTTTCCCTGGCTGCAAACCTCCCGAGATCCTTTATCTGGGTGAACAACCATTTGGAAAATTGCAAAAAATAAAGGCTGTGAGGATGTGAATGCAAGCAAGAAGGCAGACTAATAAAACAGAGAGGTCCTTCCTCGGCCAAGCCAGAAGCGGTGTTAGGAACTGAACTGCATGGGGGCGAAGTCACCGCCAGAAGGTCCTGGAATCAATCCCTCACGTCGCCAAAAACCAAACTTGGCGAAGATCCCAAATAGTGAAATATACTAAAAAATTAAAATGGAGCAAAAAAAAAAAATGGTACAACTGACAGGTTGAAAAGATAACTCTGGGAGAAAAAAAATGAACCTTAGGCAGGCTCTTTCACAAGACAGAGGCAGGCACTGACTTTTGAAACATCCTGGCACTGAGACCGGGGAATAAGCTCACTGCAGAAGTCCCGTCAGAAGCAGCAAGTCGGCAGGGACGCTTCTCTTAACCAGCTAAGGAACTAGGTTGGTTTTTATAGACTCTTAGAAAAAAAGACAAATGAACAATTTTGGTCAGTTTTTGGACAAAGCTTTTGTGTATGCCGCACGGTTAACTTCTTATCTAGCTCACAAGACGGGCTTACAATGCTAACGAGGTAGACTTTAACAAAAACACAGGACTCGGTAGAGTTGTGCGTTTCTAACTGCACTTTAAGCAGAGATGATCTTTGATGCCTAAGCAAGAAAAACATCTGAGACTCTTGTTCCTTGGGGGATATGAAATGTTCCCAGAGCCCAGGACTCTGCCTGGAATTAGGGAGAGTTTCAGGAGGCCTTTGTCCCGGAAAACAAACAGCAGTGCTGGAATTCCTCGGATTCTTCTCTGGCAAGTATGGCTAACTTCACAGGAGTACAGCTTCCTATGAAATCACAGTTGCCCCCTCCTCTGAAAACGCGACACCGTTGGCTTCCAGGAACCAACAGGTGTCAGCCTGAAACGCGATTTCATTTAAAGATGACTTCTTTCAAAGCATTTGTTAAAGGCATTCATCTGTCAACGCCCTGCAGAAACCGATCCGAACCCCAACCTTAATGTTCTTCACATGCCCCCTGCATACAAGTACTCCCTGCCCCCCCCAAATTGGCCAGCATTCAACAGTTGGAAACAGTGGGCATTTAACATGCAAATTATCGGGAGGATTTTAGAAGAAAAACTACGCTACAGTCTTATTAGTGAGATTAGTGTTTTGGTCTGTACATGCCAAAGCTCCCACGGCATTCTACCGTCCAGCATCACCGGGCTTATTAATCTGGCTGCTAGAGCATGCACTGAGAGGTGAGTCTCTACAAATGCACCCTTCATCCCTGCTACGCTAAGAGACCAGGGTTGGTCCCCGCGAAACTCCCGGACGCAACGATGGGACGTGTGCATCAAGTACCTTCGATCCAAGCCAGTAAGCCCAGATAACTGCAATAGCATGTCTATTCCTAGCCTCCTCCTTCAGCCGCCTCAGCTCCCTTCGCGCCTGTGGTGCGTTTGAAAAGGAGTGACAGAAAGGGTTAAGGCAGGAAAGGCTGCTGCTGCTGCTGCTTCCCAAGGGAGACAGAAAAGGAGACACCGGTCACCAACAGTAAACGCAAAAGCATGTGCCACCACCCGCACCAAAACGCGGCCAAGAGCAGGAGAGGCACGTGTGCTCAGTAGCTCAAGCCAGTGAGTCGTTTTCTTCCGTCCCTGAGTCTGCGGGTGCTAGGCTCCACAAGTTACATCCAACCCCACCTCCCTCTGCAGGAACCCCTGGCCTACCTGGGTTCCGTGCCAGTAGGCTGCAATGGTGGTGGCCGCCTCCTTACAGCGCTTCTGATGCTTCAGCTCCCGCAGGAGTTTGCGGGCCTACGGTAGAGAAATCATCCCCTCAATGAACTTAAAGAGAGACTAGAAAAATCATCTTCAGAGAGGTGAGAGTCCCAACACACACGGCCCAGTGAGAACCAGATGAGAACAGAAGCAAGTGCCCAGAGACACTAGCATGGCAGGGTGGTCACACCGGGAAAAGGCAGCCTCCCACCCTGGTAAACGACAGGAAAACAATGGCCACAGCAACATGGGCTATTCACATGAACGTGGAGGCTCAATCATTAAAAACACTATGAAATTCTCAAAGAATTAACAAAATAATAATATTGTTATTATTAATATTATAATCATTAATTATATTGTTATATATTAATAATTATATTATTACTGTTGTGCTTTTTCAAGACAGGGTATCTCTGTGTAAGAGCCCTGGCTGTCCTGGAATTAGCTCTTATAGACCAGGCTGGCCTTGAACTCACAAAGATCCACCCGTCTCTGCCTCCCAAGTGTTGGGATTAAAGGCGTGCGCTACCACCCGGCTAAAATATTAATTTTTTTTTTTAAAGAGTAAGATGGTAAATGGTTGGTGTTGAAAGTCACACAGTGTGCTACAGCTACTAGAGGACTTGGCTATTATGGACCTAGAGTCTAAAATAGGTGAATATGGCCACATCTTCACGGATGGATATTAAAATCCACATGTCATGTAATCTTCATGCACTTGAAACTCTTTTCTGCTTTTTGTTTACAATGGCTCAAAATATAAAAACCACTCTTGACTTGCAGGTTGTACGAATCAGAACACAGGCTTAAGTTTGCCTAGGGCCCCAAGTTCACTGACCCTTGAACCAAGCTTTAGCTGGAAGGCCCTGGAACCTGAGCAGCCACTGTGGCTGTCCACTTTCCCTCCTACCACAGCCCGGGCCAGGACCAGGAGCCTTTAGTCTTTATGAAGGGGCTGCAGAGGATCACTGGGAAGTCATGGACATGGGGCTAACCCACAGGAATCAAGCACTGGCTGGACCACGCCTTTCTGGACAATGGCTCCTCTCAAAAGCACAGGGTGCAAGGATGTCGCAATTACAGACAGTATTATTTCAGGGACTTCCTGCTTAGAGAACAAAGCTTAAAAAAATAAATAAATCAAGCGATGAGAAGGAAGCAGTCAAGACATGGTCACCAGGGCTCCCTGCTTGGCCCCTTAATATTTACTCTTTCCTTGTGGCTGTTTGCGGCACAGGTGTAGGAGAGGGGAAACCATCCCTGCAGAGCGAGCCTGAAGACAGCACCCTCTGCGGAGAAGCCCAGCTCCCACGTCCATAACTCACCTTCCAGCCCCGGATGTAAGACTGAATCACCAGGGCTGAGCTCTTTATTTTCTGGTACCGCTTCTGTTGCTGTGGGATAAAGGGGAAGAGGTGAAGGGTCATCTCTGCAGACTAAAAGGTAGAGCTTGCAGGGTCAAAGAAAGGGCGTCTGTTCGCCAGGAGCAGTGGAAGCCCGATCATCCTCCTCCCCAAGTTGCTTTGGCCAGGGATTCGTCACGGCAATAGTAACCCTAGCAGGACAGATGCCTGTTTCCCCTTGCTAAATGCGAACCTTATCAAGTCAGGAACCCGGCTACTGGGTACACTTCACTGCTCTCAGAGCACAGCAGGCTTTTAAGAGCTTTTTATGGAATTCAAGACAAAATGATTAAATGATTAAGCCCAAGCCTGGATTTTCTTGTGTTTTTTTTTTTTTTTTTTGAGACAGGGTTTCTCTGTAGCTTTTGGTTCCTGTCCTGGAACTAGCTCTTGTACACCAGGCTGGCCTCGAACTCACAGAGATCCGCCTGCCTCTGCCTCCGGAGTGCTGGGATTAAAGGCGTGCACCACCACCACCCAGCTTGGATTTTCTTAATGACCTCAAAATAAGAAATGATGAAAAAAAAAAAGCACACCTTAAAGATAGGCTATTTGTTGGTCCTCCCTATCTCGGGAGAAAAGAGCATCCTAAGCTTGCAGAGTTAAGAAGTGTGCTGCTGTGTGCTCGGAGGATCCATGACCACTAGGCAGAGAGACAACAGTCCACCGTGTCTTAGCTGAGTGGACAGGAACAGGCCCTTCATTCAAAAGTTGTCATTCTAAGACTTGCATGGTGTTTGTAATCTTCCTGACACTTGCATGGTGTCTGTAACCTTCCTAATTAGAACAAGCAATTAAAGACCCACTTAAAAGACCAAGCGCACCTTAAGCTCGATCATTTCAATACATTACTGGTTCCCAAAAGTTGGGAAGATGCTAAAAATGCATTTCATGAATGTAAGCCAACACGGATTTTATCTGAGGGCAAGATGTCTCTTTAGATGCAGAGGGAAGATTGTGCTAAATGAGCAAATTTAGCCTGTGTTTTAACTTTGTGGAGAAGAAGCACAGAACGAACATATTCACAGGCTGTGTTCTTCTGACCACTACGATTCACATCAAGAACACAACTTAAATTTGCGTGAAGGCAGAGGCAACGCTTCAGGCCCTTCCAAATCCATGGCCTGCCTCCAGCAAAGTTGTCAACCCCACTGCTAAACTTCCAAAGAAGTTCCCTATGAGTTAAGCAAATATATTTTATTATCGACGCCTTCTATCCGAGGACTAAAGACAATCCAGCTCTTTAACCAAAACCATAGCTGTACTAAAACAAACTTTCGGTGCTCTAAGATTAAAGCCATTTCTCTTCAATGCTGCGGTGGTTTATGCAGCCAGCCAATCATTTTAGACGACTGACCCCATCGTCGTAAAAGCAAATGACACAATCTCCTCAAGCCAACGACAAAAATCCAAGATAGATTTCCTGCTACATCGTTCCCGAGATCAGTGCAAAACAGTCTGGAACACTCAACCCGAGCTCTGGAACTGTCTTCAGCCCAGATCCATGGTCTGCCACTGAGAGCTGCGGGCAGGTTCTCAGAAGAGCCAGGCCTTGTTTTCCCAGGTTAAAAAAAAAAAAAATAACAATATGCATTTCATGAGGTTGTTGGGATATTTTAGCTATGGAAAATCTGCAAACACCTGGTAAGCACATAGAGAACGCTGAGAAGTTGGCATGGTGACATCAGGCTGTAACGAGAAGTTAGCATCATGACATCAGGTTGTAATGAGAAGTTTGCATGGTTACATTGGGTTGTATGGAGAAGTTGGTATGGTTATATCAGGTTGTGCTGAGAAGTTGCTATGGTTATGTCAGGCTGTACTGAGAAGCTGGTATGGCTACATCAGATTATAATGCAGTGAGAAGTCAGCTGGTTACGTCAAGCGGTAGCTTCGGGACTCACCGCATATCTCCTGCACCAGGCCGCAATCACAACTTGGCTTTTTTTCATGAGCAGGAAATGCGTACGGCACTTCCACCCCCGATAAATCTTCTGAATGAGAGTGGCCAGGTCCTCCAGCCGCTGCTTCCTTATGTCTTCTAATTGGAATAACTAGTAAGAAATGATAGACAGACTTAGCCAAAGTCCCCCAGGCCTAAGGCATACAAGAGAGGACGTCCCTGGGTGCTGAGGTCAGCTCCTTCAATGTGCATGCTACAGACCATGGTGCACGAGGGAAATATCTGGATAGATCCGTGAAGGATCCAGTTATTCAGGCTTCATGACAAATCAGAGGAGGTTGGAATGGACCAACTTCCTGCTCTGAAGGATGCAAAGCAGCTCAGGGTGAAGCTCCAGGACCAACATGATGTCCAGAAGTCTGAGAGGCGGGAGTTCAGATCTTCAAACAAAGGACGCTCAGACAAAAGGGGACAACTCCCCCTAATGTAGGTGCTGGCTGCCTCTTCCTCTTCAACAACCTGAGTGCCCTCAAGTTCTCTAAACTGCCACCCCACTGAGTTGGGTGATAATAACAAACTTTTCACCCATCTGTTTCTTTAGACAAAGACTCTGAGGAATTCTAAGGAGGTCTATAAATTTGATAAATTTTGAAAAAAAAATATTTCCTTCCACGTTCCACGGGCACCCATGGAGTTGTGATCCCGAAAACTCTTGTGTCACTCAGACACAGCAGACATTGGCAGGCTCGCCTCCCAATCTCTGGGAATCAGGGAGAGCGGCTCAGCCAAGGTTTGGTAGCTATCATATAGTGTTGGTGTTGTGGAAATAATACACCATCCCTTTTGTCCACCAGCTCTAGGATACTTCAGACGAACAGAGGAATATGGCCTTCACGGTGGGAAGGACCTCAGCCATTAGCCTCTTTGCACGGGGAATTGAGTTCAGAGTGTAAAGGTTACATACTGTTCTTGGGTTTCGGATAAATATCTTGGATCTGCCAAAGGAGTACTCTTCCATAGGGATCTCTAGCTCATTGAACAGAACCTCCACACCAGACCTGGAAGAGTGAACAAAACCCCAAACAATGTTTTCCCCGAGTTACGAAAATAGCTTTACCGTATATAATATCAGGTTCTCATTAATACACAGAAAAAGCTACATAAAAACTTTACGTGTGTGTGTGTGCGTGTATGTGTGTGTGTGCGTGTATATGTGTGTGTTTGTGTGACCGGTAGGAAGCGATTATCTACTTTCACCACGTGGGCCCTAGAGATCAAACTCAGGTCGCTGGGCCATGCAGCCAGCACCTTTACCTCTCCAGGCCCAACACTGTTCCATGTTTTTAGGGTGCTCACTCATCTGGTGAGCATCTTTCTACCAAAGGATTTCCAAGACTGATTTCCACAAACTAACCCAGACTGATAAATATTACTAAAGCAGATCTAGGTTCAGAACTATGCACACTAAGAAATGCAGAGGTTTTTTTGAGTTCATTACTAATACAAAAAATAGTCAATTAATGTATCAATGGGGACCAAGAATGAAAGCAAAAAAACCTCAGGCCTCTACTGAACCTACTCAGCTCAGTTAACTCTGGGTGCAAGTGCTTTTGGGTACTACCCTCGTGCTTGGTGCCTGAGGAGGCCCGGAGAGGGTGCTGCATCCCCTGGAACCGGGGCATCAGGTGTTGTGACCTGCATGGTAGACGCTGAGACCCAACCGCAAGTCCTCTGCAGAAGGAGCAAGCGCTATGAAACCACGGAGCCACCTTTGCGGGCCCTCCTGGGACACTTCCATCATCACTTTCATGGCAGAGGGTGAGCGGAGCCTAAATCAATGCTGAGAGCCAAACCAATCAGATGCTACAGAACGGGGCCTCTGTGGAAGGAACAAGGCCTTGACCTTGGTTGCAACATCAGTTTCTAAAACCGGCCTGGCTCCACCAACCTGCAAACGGCCTGCCAGACAGGGAATGAATAGTGTTCCGTGCTATGGCGTGTTTAGAGCAACATCCCTGAAATTAACGGTGCGCAGAGACAACATCCTGAGTCTGCATTAGACACACGAGACTATGGCAGATGAGACTTCTGTCTCTTCTGTAATTCAGGATGAATGTCTAACTTACTACTCAATCTTCTCTAAAAGGCTGGGTCCCACTGAGAACGGACACACAGCCTTGGCCCAAGATGAAACGCCCCAAGTGCCTGTCTCGGTCATGAGCAGGCATGCTGGCTCTCCTGCAGTGCTCAGACTTCTACGGTCCCCAGGGCCATCCTGATGGGTGACAGTGGAGGTTCCTCTCCTGTCACAGCTGCTCTCCAGCACGCGAGTTCATACAGCAACTACCAACTACCTATGAGCTCACCACGCGTACGTTTGAAACATTCATCGGCGTGCGAGTTTCATTTCTTCCGTTTCGACGTCAGGGAAAATCGACACCTCTACAGTCAGTGGAGAATTATCTCCAATGGTACCCCAATGGAAGAGGGGCACAGCCAACTTCACATACAGAGACACATCCAGGCCAAACCAAGAACACAATGCTACTCGGACACCTCAAAAGCTGATGACCTCACAGACAGAGCTGCTTACCTTGCTGGTCCTTTCCAGTGAGGCCATGTTTGTTTGCAAAGCATCTTGTATCTTTCCAGGCAGGGTTCATAGGCCTGCCGGAAGGCGTAGCCTGCCCGCCTCACTCGGACGTTCTCCAGAAGACCCAGGTACCGGATCTGATGGCAGACGAGGCTCTCGTTGAAGATGTGCGCCGCCTTCTTATCGTTGGGCTTGATGCACCTAGGACGTTTCAAGTATTTTAGGTTTTAAACTCTGCCTCTGTGGATCTTAAGTGGCGTTTCATGTCTAACGGTTCCACGGTAATTATTTGCTCTTCTTGGGAAACCAAACCGTCTCTAATTATTTCAAAACCTTTCACAATAAACTAAAAATAAATGTAATATTGCACACGCTACAATTAAAAAATGATGAGGACGTGCGATGGCCCTGGTGAGTGTCAATGACGAAAACGGGACATGCTGCACAGTTACGTCTATGTGGCGCCCACGCAAAACCAGTCTGAATTCCTAGTTCGGAGTCCTCTGAGAGGTGGCGGTGGAGATCCACACAGAAGACACGCATAAGGAAACCTTTTATGGTGACAGATGTGCCTATGTATGTGTGTGTCCACACTTCTGGACCCCCAGCTCACCCGATCAGGTAGAGTAATGGGACAATGACCTCAGGAATCCCTGACCCCGCCTTCCCAGCACTAGGATTATAGGTAGACCCTGAATGGTGATAAGAAGATCAACACCCCTCCCCTCCCTCTCCTGGGCCTCTGTTCCTCTGTAGCAGGGCTTTCTGTTGCTTAGGAAGGACTACATCCTTAAGATTCCCTTCCTAGTAAGGAGGTATAGTCACATGATCAGATTTTAGTATCAAAGCAGAGCTAATGTGTTGTGTTCTGGTCTGTGTCCATGAAGCAGGCCTCGGCCAACTCAACGGTGGCTGTGGGTGTCAACACAGTGGGCAGCCATCTTTGACCACGAAGGTGAAGAACGCACCTTGGAAATGGTGGAATGACAATACAGCAGGAACTTCCCTGTTAGCTCTACAGCTGCTCTTACACAAAACGTCCTTATGGAGAAACAGGTGCCAGACTTGTTATCAGTCTTGGATCACACAAGGGCTTGGCTCACACAAGATCATCACCCCTGGGCTGCCTAGCACAACTGTAAAACATCCATGGTATGGCTGTACAACTGTTAAGTGACCTCCCTAACACAGACAGACAGACACACACACCAATGGTATGGCTGTACAACTGTTACGTGACCTCCCTAACACACACGCACGCACACACACGCACGCACACACACACCCCCCCCCCAATGGTATGGCTGTACAACTGTTACGTGACCTCCCTAACACACACACACACGCACGCACACACACACGCACACACACCAATGGTATGGCTGTACAACTGTTATGTGACCTCCCTAACACACACACACACACACACACACACACACGTGCGCGTGCACATACACTGCTAAATCTCATCTAGTTTTGTCTTCATGTTTGCATACTTTCCCTTTGACCATATAACGTCTACTGCACGCATTCAATGAAGGCAACAGACAGCTCAGGAGAAAAGTCTTAAGTTCCAGCAGTCTCCAACACACACGTGCAACTGGCTATTGATACAGGACGCGGGACAACGAACGGGAAGAGTTTAGTCTTACGTCTGAAGTCCGAGGCTGCCCAGATTCTAGCAGCGAGCCCGAAGACCACCTCACAGTCTTGGGACTCATCCCAATTTCTTACAGGACACACAAGAACTAGAGAACAGGAAACTCCCTAAGGTGATGGTGCGTATTTTGCGGCTCACTCGGGTGATGCCGCCAAGGTAAACATCATGATTATAAAGTAATCGAACTGTTCATCTCAAAGCTGTGTGGATCACTTCATGTAAACGGCATCTGGAGAGAACTCGATAACCCCACTCCACTGAGAAGAGCGCAAACAAACGATCAAAGATGCCGGGGTTAGTTCCTAGAAGTGAGATTTTTCTCCCGACACATGTTCTAACTTGGGTAAATGAGAGCAGGGTACCCTGCCTGTTTCTGTTTCTACTGATATGAGTTTCGGGTAAACGAACCAAACATACAGAAACTGTCCCTCACTCTGGTTTGTTCCTAGCTGAAATTACAAGGGCAAGGTGCGTGCTGGCGTCTGTTCTAACAGCCCACACACTTCCTGCTGCTTCTGCAGATCCTAACTCGAGTGGGACCTTCCCGAATCCAGAGCAAGCCACATCTAAGATGACCTAGGAGCTGGGAAACAAAGGAAGAAAACTGAAGTGACACTAGGTTTTAGGGACATCTTTCTGATTGCCTCGAGGACACTGGGCTGCTTTGGGAATGGTTTCTCCCAAGAGTGACTACCAAGCTGCCTACTTCACTGCTATGCTCTGATACGACTTTACAGGCATCCAAGCGGATGCCACGGACAGAGAAGCATGCACAGCCTCAGGAAAACATCTTACCATTTGTTTCTGTGATTTGTCATTAAAAAACAAACCATAAAAACAGAAAGTTGGGAACTCCTACATGCCGCCAGCTTCCTGTCTCCTGTCAGGCCACGCCACATTTTTTTCCTTTAGTATACACCCCCCCTCCCCCCCATTTTTTGGAAAGAAATACAGCTGTGGATCTTTTAGGACAAGCAAACGCTGTATTCTTTGACCTATCGCTGTGTTTGTTACTCTCCAGTTGGGCTGCATTTAAATTTAAACAGACAGGAAAATAAGATTCAGTAATTGTGCTTGGATTTGAGCTCGTGTTCCGGAAGTACCTGATGTAGTTGGGATTCTTGGTCTGCAGGTTCTTCATCAGGGTGGCCACGGATGCCTTGAACTGTGAGCCGGCCGTCGGAGGTCTTTTCAGGTTAACCTTCGCGGGGTTCCCTTCGGGGAACAGGGATTTGATGAGGACGTGGCCAGCCTTCCACATGGCTTGGGACAGGTCTCGGTACAGGAGGTCATTGTTCTTGTCCACAAACCCTTCCACCTGGTACAGCACCTGTGGACAGCACACGGGACTCAGCGTTGGCTCACTGCGCGGGGCAGCGGCAAACCAGAATGACGGCATCCAAACTCCTTCGACATCACAAGCCCCCAGTGCGCTAGTAGCACAGATACCCAGCTAGCCTCCAACTTTGAGGTCCATCAACTGGAGGTGCAGAAGAGATCAAAATAAATTCCAACGTCCTTCAGGGTTTGCAAGAATAGGGTTTCCAACATGTTATGACATCCTCAAAGGATTTCAGATGGGTTTTGGTATGTGTATGTGTCTGAACGGATTTGAGGATTTTCTTTTTATTTGCTGGTCGCAAGCCAGTCTATTTCATTTCAAAGCAGAAAAGGGAAAACAGAGAGAACACTGACATTTCCACAGCCACCCTAAGTGGCGGGGAAACTCAGCAGGAATGTGGCCTTCACTCTCATGGCCCAATGGAGAAAAAGGGCCAATGTTGGGGCATCCTAAAACAAAAGGTAATCCAGCTATTAGCCATTTCACTCGGTGTCCAAATAAGGACTCTCATCCTTATTTAAAAAGGCAGTATTTAACCCAATCAATAATCTTTGGAGATTCTAATAATCAGCCTCCTATCCAATTTTTTTTTATTGAGATTAACGTCCTCAAATACTGAAGAAGAAAATTTAACTAGGTATTTTCCCCAGTGTCTCTCAAAAATCTCCATCTAAGAATTCTTTATTTTTGCTGAATAACTTGTACATTTAAAACCACACTTTAGGCCTTTCTTCTGGAAGGTCTTCTTTGTTATTGTTGCCAGGCATTTCTGACAGAACAGCTTAACAGCTGAAAATAATAAAACGATTTAAGAACACTTTTTAGCGCTCATTCAGGGCCCAGGATTTGTTAGTGAGATGTAGCTCGACGCGGTGTGGACTCAGCTGTCAGCGAGCGTGAGTTGTTCTTAAGGACCTCATGCAGCCACAGGGTTCAGCACACCGGTCCCCCAGAAGCCACAGCAGCCCTGGAGACAACTGTGTGCCTGGGGGAGCTGGGGGGCTTTCCAGTACCTTGCCGGCGTAATGCTGGATTCTGAAGCAGCTGTGCGGCAGGGTCGTGTCGTTGAGGAAGCGGGAACACTTGCTCATCCGGCTCTCGAAGTGCTGGTGGGTGGCACAGACTTGGTTCAGCTTTTCCAGGAAGGTCTCATCCGTGACGGTGCCGGGTCTCAGGCATTCTTCGTCCAGCATGGCCAAGATTCCGTTTGTGTTCTGAGAGAAAAGAAACGAAGGGGTTTCCTTCCTTCCTTGCTGCTCTGCTCTGACAATTAGTCCTAATGACAACCCCTAGCAAAATCAACGTAGCCACATGCCAAAATTCTGTTTGGCTGCTACAGAAATGAGACAGAGTCACAAGGCCACGGAGGAAGCCAGCTCCTTTCCAGAATGCCCCAGGTGTGCTGGGGGTGGACAAAGGACAAAGTCTTTGTCTTTGTGTCTCCTTCCCCAGCAGACAGGAAGGGGCCACGGTCACCTCACCCTCAGTACAAATGGAATTCACAGACACGTGTGCGTGGGCCTCAAGTCCAAAGTCAAGTGTGAAGTCAGAGGTGGCAGGGGAGAATGGTGTCAAGAACAGGTTACAATCCCAGCTCTGTCCCCTACGGCTTCTGTTGGCTTCACGGCTTAGGCAACAGATTGTCTCACGTTACCAGCCTGTTCATGGATTCAGGGTAAAGCTGGGTTTCTTGGAGGGAGGGGATGGTGCCGTGTTTCGGGACACTAATGATCCTGCAATCAAGAGCTTTGCAAAACCACGTGCAGAATAAAGCTCTGGTTCCAGATAAAATTTCTAAAGGGGTATTAATTATTAATGTAATTTTACTCGTGCATTCGGGCTCTAGGATCATTTTATTTCAAGATGAGCCCGTCCAAGAGGGAGCCAGAAATCAGGAATCTCCTGCTTTCCTAACAAGTGCAGTGCCCTTCCTCCCACTGTCCCCAGGGCTCCGACATCACAGTTCCAGAAACAATCCAAGCCACTGACCCTCAACCCCGCCCACTTCCACTGAAGCAAAGGCCCTGTCCTCACGAGGCTATGGTAGCCTTTGGCCGGAGTTTATTCATTCCTTACAAAACCCAAGGGAAGAGTGGGCTCTCCAGTGTGCTCACAACATCCCAGAATAGACGCTGTTGTACGGTGGCGGTGGAAGGAAACGCTTCCTTTGGGCCCCTGGGCTCTTCCGCCAACACGAGTTTCTTCAATCATATATACAAGGGATTTTCTGGGAGATAAGCCTGCATAGAAGCGTGTTACATTTCCCTCTATTAAGAGAAATAATTAAGTGTTGCTGTTTATGAGGAAAACACTCATCAGGAAAGCTAGACTTCCCACAGCAGAGCCCCCAGGTAACAGAATATCCTAGGAACAACTTCCAGGAGGATCTAGGATCTCTGGATTTGAGGTGAGGACTCTGAATCCTTTGTGTTGGATGGCAAGGCTCCCCCCGCAACCCTGGTCGGAGCTTTCAAAACTAAGCTCCCTTTGATCAGGAAGGAGCGGTACGTTGGAATATCGTTTTCTGTGTTCAGCTCCATCCAAGGGGAGGTTTTCAGGAGGATTGTGCCTATTGATGGGAAAACACTGGCTAAGCCCATGACTTCCACGAGGGCTTAGGGAGACAAGCAGCAAAGTGCTGAGTACAGGTGGTATTCTGAAAACACAGCACCCGTTTCTAGGGCAGGTAAAAAGTTGGCAAGAGAGGTAAGTTTATGTTGTCATCTCAAACTACTAATTCAAGGTCAGAAGTACTAGCCACCTGAGGTTAAACAAAGGGGCTCCAAGTTTCCACACACAGATACAGCTTCCTACAGCTACTACAATGACCTCTCTAATACTGCCTAAAAACAAAAACCTTAAACCCGAACACCTTTCTGAAAACTGCCCTGCAATTTCCCACACTTTACTTCTTTTCACACTCTTATAAACTTTATATAAAACTCAAACAAAGTCTTCTGAAAAACTCTAGGGAGCTTGGCCACCAGCTGTCATCACACAAATGCTGGTCTACGCGAGGCCCTGGCATCTGAAGGCGTAAAAGGGCTTCCATAGGACATGACCAGGGATCCTGGCTAAGTACGGTGAGAAAAGCTGGCCATGCACACACTCAAGAGCTGAGAAAGAGGTGAGGATTATCATAACGTTTTCCCAGCTGAGTAGTGCCACAGAGGAAGGTGGAAACCATCATTTGCGTGTAGTGTGAGATTATACCACTCAAACCTTCGTGAATCCGTAAGTACTCACGTTTTCTATCAGGTCACAAATGATCGCATTGTTGAAGTAATCAATGTGAGTCCATTCTATGTCCTGAAAACAGAGCAGAACAACAAGACCAAATCCATGTGACAACGCATACCGTCATCTGAAAAGGGACAGCTGCCCCGCCACCCCCATTTCACTTTCTCTCTCCAGAACCTGAGTTGCGAGGATCGCCTCCCAGCTCCCCAAACCTCCCCAACACAGCAGCCCACCATGGACAAACCGAACGGAGCCACAGCCCTGGACCTGCTCCAAGACTGCTTCCCATTCCACGCTCCCATCTGTGGCTGTTTCCCATGCACTCCATGGGCTCGAAGCCAAATATTTACTCAAGGGGCCCGGGGGTCAATATTGCTCTGTGTATATTTATGATCTTTATAAGGAAACAGGGCAGAACTTGATCCCAGCAACCTAAGGCCTAGAGATTTTGTCACCATGAGGGAAAAAAGTCATTGGAGAGGCAATGCTGAGATCTAAGTCGGTTAACTATCTCCAGTGTAAAAACAGCCCAGAAAAGAGAAAGCAGTTTCTCCAAATCATGGGAAAGCTACCCCACGAGGCTCAACACTAACGCCAGAGCCAAACCTGTGAGGCCAACTGCAATCATCCCTAACCTCCATCTCTACGCACAGTCACTGAACTTTCTTCCTAAGAGAAAAAGGTTTACATAGCAAGCGAGCGGTCTGCCCAGACATGTTTCAGGGAATCTACACATTAATGTCCTGGCATTCTGCATGTGATGAAGAGACAGGACGAGAACAAAGCTTGCTTTGAGGGTGTTTATGTGACCAAAGGTTGCCGGACAAGCACGAAACTGTTCTAAGTAAAATGCAAACATTTGCAAACAAAGAAGTATTAACAAGTTGGTTTAGTGGGGATTGGCAGCCCCATTAGAAAACACAGGCAGGAGTGTATGGAGGTGCATGCCTACACCCTTGAAACTTGAAGGCCGAGGCAGATGGATGGATGTTGGGGATATCTTGGGTGACACAGCAGGATACTGTTCAAAAACAAGTTTGTGAGCGTGCACACACACACGAGAATGTGAGCTCATGGAAAACATAGCTCTGTATACTATCAATCTATCAAACATCCATCCATCATCCATCTATCTATCTATCTATCTATCTATCTATCTATCTATCTATCTATCTGTCTACTTATCTATCTATCTATCATCTATCATCCATCCGTCTATCTATCCATCTACTTACCTATCTATCATCTATCTATCTATCCATCTATCTACTTACCTACCTACCTACCTACCGATCTATCTATCTATCTATCTATCTATCTATCTACCTACCTACCTACCGATCTATCTATCTGTCTGTCCATCTATCTTCCATCTGTCTGTCTATCTATCTACTATCTACCTATGAATGATATCTTGTTTATACTCTATCAAATAAAGCTTGCCCAAAGATCAGCGGGTGGAGCTAGCCACTGGTTATCTACGGAGGTCTGGAGGTCTGTACAGATAGAGAGGACAGACAGGAAGTAATATGGGTGGGTAGAGAGAAGAATATAAGGCAGGAGGAGCCATGAGGTCAGCCCTTAACGGCTGAGAAGTGAGCAAGGTAAGTTGGTTGTGGCTTGCTCCTTTCTCTCTCAGATCTTCCAGAGAGCTTTGTTAGAGTACAAGCAAGATACGGTCACATTATTCATCATCAATTGACCTATCTATCTGCCAGGGGAAGGACGTCATGCTTGCAATCCCAGCACATAGGAGGCTGAGACAGGACTGTCTTGAGTATGAAGTTCATTTGGGCTACACTGTTAATTTTGTCTCTAAAGAGGAATAGTGGTGTTGTGTTAAGAAGGCTTAGCCTGCGCTCAGTCCCTGGGACCCACATCGTAGGAGAAAACTCTCACAAGTTGTACTCTGGTCTCTGCACAAACCACAGCCTGCTCAGGGCCACAGCAAACAGATGCAACTTCATTAATTTAAAAAAGAAGGAAAAGAGGCAATAATAGTGCTCTTAAGACACTGGGAAATCAAAAGCGAACAAAGACAGGGACGCGAAAATAATCACTGAAGGAGAATGTTTACTTAAAAAAAATGAAAGCATAAAAATTCAAGGCTGTTTTAGAAGTAAAGATGAAAGGACTTTACAAACAATTATTTCTGGTTATTTTAAAACTATAATTAAGTGAGATAATCCTTTAGAAAAAAAACCTTTAGGAAAGGTTTCTCTCTAGGTTTTGGAGTCTGTCTTGGAACTAGCTCTTGTAGACCAGGCTGGTCTCGAACTCCCAGAGATCCGCCTGCCTCTGCCTCCCGAGTGCTGGGATTAAAGGCGTGCGCTGCCACCACTCAGCTAAGCGAGACAATCCTTAAATAACATCTGGAATATGGTGACTATATAACAAATGCTATGCTATTTATTATAAATTTTGACAACCCCTGCTTTTTAAGATTGAGCAAAATCTCAAAGAATCCTCAGTCCACCTGTGGTGACGCTGAATTTTATTTTTTTTTGGTATATAATTCTTAGTGTCAACTCACCCAAAATCTACAACCATAAAGAGTCAGTCTCTGAATCACCCTGTTGGCACCACCAACCAAGGCTTTCTACAGGCAATATAAATAGCTTCGTCACTTTTAAGACCGATGGACTCTGGTTTCTTCATTTAGCAACATGCATCTGATTCACGGTGCGTGTGTATGAACTACTCACTCCTCTCTACGCTGGAGTTCTAGTCCAGTGTGCGGATCGACTCCATTTTAACACCACGTTATTTTACCTAACTACGCTGGAATCCGGACAAGACTGAAGGCCATTAACGACTATTTAACGCCTGGCCCGTCTACTACGTACCAGGTATTGCTCTCCAGACTAGCGGTGCAGTACCAGAGAAAGCTGCCGTCAGCACAGCTGCCGTGACAAACACAAAACACAGAGATAGAATAGAAGGAAGCTGAGAGCTGACTCTCACGCAGGCCACGTGGAGGGAGTCTCCCAGACACAGACTCTTGGTTCTAAAGGAGCAAGCGTTCAACAGCTTCAGCTTTACCTCCCGTATGTACTCCTCTTGCTCTTCCTTCAGAGTGAGTTCGATGAAGATCTGTTGAAGCTTCTCGTTACAATAATTAATAATGAACTGCTCAAAGCTGTTGTCCTAGGGGGAGAAAAGGAAATGAATACACATAAGACCGTATCACAGCTCTCCCTACCAAAGACACACCACGCTTCACTCCGTATGCGACGCCACACGCTCCCTTCAGACTTGACTGAGGCTCCACACAAGCTCCCACGACAGACAACGTCCCTTGTAAGCGCTCAAGGGGTGGCTCACGAGTCAGCGAACAAACGAAATACGCACAGATGTCGCAGTTCTTACAGGTGGGGATTTTGAGAAAGGCCCCCAATTTGTTCAAACTCCCCAGTGAAGTTCAGTAAAGACATAGAGAGGTCTGTAATCCCTGTCAGCGACTACCCAACCATTAATTCTCAGGGCCGCCTGCCACACCTGTTCCCTCCAGCCGGAATCAGGTCCCTCACTCGGCACCGTTATCTAAGTGTGTGCACGCACATATGTACACGTATTGGCTACGTTCACAGATGTATCTCATCGGACATTACTTGAGGGGAAGAGCTGACCCAACCCTCTCGCTCACCGTGATGCCTGCCGTACTGCATCAGCAAGTGCAGATGCCCCAACTGAACAGAAATCCAGGGAAGTCAAAGCATCGAGACCACATGTTAGTCAGAGACAATGTCTCCTATCAGAAGGCTGCGTCACACTCTCAGGGGCCCCATGCTCCCTCTCAACAGGAGTCCGGCCTCATTTTAATCATCTCCCAGGAATCCTCTGATGGAAGCTCTATGAAATCATTTTCGGACAATCTGCAGAGCTCGGTGGACACACTGAAGGTGCCAATGTCATCTGCTAAAGGAACATGTATTCCACTTGGAACCTTCCAGAATGACACAGACGTGGTGCCAAAGCTTGTCTGCTTTGCTTCTCCCCCTCTCATTCTTGGCGATGGGCAAAGAGACACAAAGAGTCTACCTCCGGGAAACTTGGCCAGTCCTGCTCTGACAAGGAACCCCCCACATACGGGAAGACTGAGGCTCATCACTCCGTGGGCGCAAGCGCACACTGGCCTTCGCGTCTCTCTCCCAATGACAAAGGCACAAAAGCCACTGAGGTTTCTGACAGCTGATCTTTACACTGACTTCGGTCCTCCCCCGGGTGGACCTGAACTGGGTGCTCATGCCAGAGCCCCTCACTACATCCTTGTCTGGTATCGGGTTTGTCATCACGGTAGTGCAGGGACAGAGACTTCTAACTCCAAACCTTACAAATGACACACGGGCGTGCACTATCGCCGACTGGCCTCGCTAACGCTTGATTCAGTGAGGCAGCAATGGTTCCCACAGTCCTGGAGGTTTTCACTAAAGAAGCAAGCATGGGTTTACAATACCTCCACGAACGTAGTTTTAGACGCAAAGGGCACCCCCGGGTGCCTTTGCGTACACACCCTTTAAAATCTCAGCACTAACAATTTCGACTAGAAACTAAAGTCAGTCCACTACGGCTGCTGGACGCCGTCTCGCTCTTGACTACCACAAAGTCCTTTCATATACAAGAAACATCGGGATTTTGTGGTTTGGTAGAACAGGTACTGACATAATGCTACGATCACAAACAAAAAAAAAAAAAGAACATTTGAGTACCTGATGCAAGCAGACCTCTCTTAGACTGGAAAACAAACAGAGAGAGTCTCCCGTCTGAGAATCCGTGCTGACGGAGCAGTTTCAACACAGCGATGCTAAAGTCTCAAGTGTCCACTGGTGGGGGCAGGGGAGGGAAATGACTGGTTCCTTGGATACAGTACGTGCTATGGACGCTTTCAAAACAAAGCTATGAAACACACACACACACACACACACACACACACACACACGTTAGAAGCCAGCGGCAAAGCATCACGATTACAGCACAGCTTGCGGATTCAGTTCGAGCTAAGGTGTGTTTCCTGTCCACCCTTCTAATTCCCTGCCCGGGTGCTGCACCTCATATCCACGCAATTAGCCAGCGACCACTTGCCACGAAACTCACGCAAACTGGAGAAGCTATTAGCACAGGAACATGCAACAGACCAGCACTGCAAACGGTTTATACTTACTGCATTCTGGTGCAGGGGGTGGGGACAGACATAAAATGCAGTCAGTTCCTAATTAGCAACAGACTTTCAGTAGTAAGCACTTTGTCGGTTCCTCATTGGGCTAACTGGTACCTGCACCAGGGTCCGCACAGCTAAGCTGTGGAAAACTGGAGCTGAAGACACAGCCAACCTAAGGGAGCGTCTCTAAACTTGGATGTTGTATCTCAACTATGTTTCTGTTACAGAGGGGGCTCTTCAGGATGAAAGGGGCTCCGCTGAACTGCTCACACGTCATTAAACTTTCCCGAAAGCCCTAGCGCTCAGAGTCCAGGGCTGCCTGAATCAGTGTAACATCTGTGTAAAGAAAATCTACGTGTAGACCCATGGTCTACGTCTACCTAGAGTCAGGGACAAAGGCATTTGGAAAAATCACACAAGAATTACACCAGAAGGACCTCCCGTCCGTGACCCGCTTCTGTGTGCTGTGTGGGCTCACGCTGAACTAGCTCCTCCTTCAAAACCAGTTAAGGGCTGGAGAGATGGCTCAGTGGTTAAGAGCACTGACTGCTCTTCCAGAGGTCATGATTCAATTCCTGGCAACCACATGGTGGCTCACAACCATCTGTAATGAGATCTGGCGCCCTCTTCTGGCATGTGGGCATACATGGAGGCAGAATGTTGTATACATAATAAATAAATAAATCTTTAAAAAAAAAAAACAGTTAAGATGGCATGGAGACAGTATCCAGCTAGAGACGATCTAAGAACAAAAGCTGAACTCTCCAACCTTATTCTAAATGACAAAAGTCACCCTCCCAAGCCCCCCCCCCCCAACAAAACCGGAAGACCCAACCATCAGTGCAGAAATGAATGTATTCCCTCACATTGAAATCAACATCTACTACAATTATATTCTACATACTCCAAAACACATCATGGCCGGAGCAATAATTATAAAAACTAGAGGATAATAATATACATATACTGTGGTCTAAGTTTAAGCTGTTGACACTGCTCAACTTTTGGAAGAAATAGAACTTCTTAGACAGAATTAAAACTTGGAAAATTGTAAATAAAAGCCTATAGGGAAGGAAGATAAGAAAGAGGGAGGGGAGAGGGAGAAAGGGAGACGGGGAAGCAGGGCCTGGTGGCAAAGTAATTCTCATATGAATTACTAATTCTAACACATTTCTCCATTTCTACAGGTTAAAATAACACAAGGTTTTCAAATGTGGGTCTCCCTCCCCTTTATACAATGTCCAAAGCAAGTCTAGAAATCCTCATGGAACCTGAACGCCCCCAGCAAGCGTCTATCTGATACTCTTCTGCGTGGCGAGAGTATGGTGAGCAGCCAGCACCCCGCACACCAGTCTCACGAATCAAGCCTCCAGGGAAAGAGCTGCCGCCACGACTTAACCCCCTCCCTAGTCTTCTTTACTGATGTGCCCACATTGACTCAGAAAATCTGAGGATAAAGTTGAAACATTCGGGAACGCATTCAAACAAGTGCTTCCAGGTTTTTAGTGAATGACCCCCCGCCAGGGAAGCTCGGAACATCCTCTGCCCCGAAGAGACAGCTGTGGGGACACAGGGAACTGGACGGTACAGGGGTTCAGGCTACTTTACAGTGTGCCCCAACCACACACGGGGACGGCCAGCACTCACTGTTTATAGCGGCAGAACAAACTAATGCTTTCAACCCCGGGGCTTCTTAAAACATCTTCTAGACTCTGAGCTGACTGTGCTCCCAGCACGAGTCAGAGCTGCTTTCTACCTCAGGTACCAACCATGACTGATTTAGAAATACTGGCCTATTTACAATCTCCTTTGCAAGAGAAGCAGCTAAGGATATCTTACGCTTCTAAAGGCAACTCCATATTTTTAAAAAGTTGAACTCTTTATAAAATCTAAATATTAAAATTAAGAAGTAAATACAAGAGACAACTCCATATCCCAGGTATTAAGGACAGGAGACAGTGCATTTTGCAGGAAACATGCTCTGGAAACCATGAGTTTTTCAAACAAAAAGTGCCGCTAATTCTACAATACACACTGTCAGTGTTTTCTACAGGTCTGCTCTTCCATCTGAGTCCAAACGTTTGGCATCTGGATGTAATGTATGAGATGGGGGTTCTTATTTCTATATAATGAAGGCACAGCAAATGAAATGGCTCACTTGTGGATAAAGCCAGAGTATCCGCGCACCTTAGAGACCCTGGGATGGAGACAACACTGTTGTAAATGCGTCCTTGCGATGACATCCTTGTCGGGTGGCCTCTGGTAGTCCCCGAGTATGACACCATTTTCACAGAAGAGGGTAACAGACTTAGCCACGATCAGTTTTTAAAGCCACCACTCCAAGAAATAGGCTCTAAAGCACTAATTTTTTAAAGTAAACATCAGGGAAAAAAATTCCTCAAAATGTTTAAGAAAAACACTTAGCATTAGCTATTCACTGTCCTAAACATTTACAAAACTGAGTAACTAACAAATTTCCCTTTAAATACCTAACATCTTTTTTTCTAGGTATCAAATATGGTAAACTTTAAGAAAACAATGCTATTTTTATTTATTTTTTTATTTTTATTTATTTTTTTGATTTTTCAAGACAGGGTTTCTTTGTGGCTTTGGAGCCTGTCCTGGAACTAGCTCTGTAGACCAGGCTGGTCTCGAACTCACAGAGATCCGCCTGCCTCTGCCTCCTAAGTGCTGGGATTAAAGGCGTGCGCCACCATCGCCCGGCCAACAATGCTATTTTTAGATTCTTAAATATTTTTAACTAAACTGTGATTTTTAAAAATTAGTACGTTGGTTTTTTTGTTTGTTTGTTTTGAGACAGGATTTCTCTGTGTCACAGCCGTGGCTGTCTTGGAACTTGCTCTTGTAGACCAGGCTGGCCTTGAATTCCCAGAGATTCCCATTTCTGTGAGTTCGAGGCCAGCCTGGTCTACAAGAGCTAGTTCCAGGACAGCCAAAGGCTATGATACAGAGAAACCCTGTCTTGAAAAAACAAAACAAGGAAACAAAAGGTGGACATTGAATTGGCAGCCAGCCTTCTGCCTGGATGGGAGCATTTCAGCCACACAGGATGTGAATTACCAGCCCGTGATGCCTCCATGTCCAAGGCACTGTTAATGTTTAATTAAGTTTCCCAGTAAACTAACCGCCAGTTATAATAACTTCCTATCATATAAGCCTTAAGGAAAGTTTCACATTGCCCAACTTACTTTTAAATGTAATATAATCTTTAAAGTTAACAGCGCTTATTCCTTTCCCCCTTTTCGTATAAGGCATTTATTTCAATCGCCTTCATACCCTCCTCCCTGGCCAGCCCACTTCGTCCTTAATGGACAAATTATAAAAATGTCTCAGAAATCCAAGACCAAACTCTCGGATAAAACAAAGCCCAAACTTAACTGTGCAGGGCTTCTGGACACATTTTCTTCCTTTGGAAAGAGGGTTTCCTGTTCTACCAGGGTGTAGGGCGACAATGTTTTCCTCTGAGCACCATAGTGCGGTCTTCCACCTTCCTTTATCCTGTTTCATCAATCTGTTTTCCAAATGGACATCAGACTACACGCAGCCGGCAAGGCAGACAGATTCGCCCTCCAGTCCTAACTGCTTCGTGGGCAAATCCAAACATCATCATCCCAAGGTTTAATGCTCCCATTTCCCCTCCATTCAGGGAGGAACCAAAGAGACAAAGGGCTTCCGCCTGCTCTGCTGAAAAGTGCTTCTGTGCAAGGAACCGCGGAGCCAGAGGTAGAATCGGACAGCTCAGGAAACGTCCTGGGCCTTTACTCTCCATTTCTTACATTTTTTTTAAAAAAGGTTTATTTATTTACTTTATGCATGAGTGCTCTATCAGCATGTCTAGCTTTACGCCAGTTTAAGAATCAGATCCCAAGAGAGATGGTCGGGAGCCACCATGTGGTTGCTGGGAACTGAACTCAGGACCTCTGGAAGAACCAGAGCCATCTCTCCAGCCCCTTTCTGTCTACTTTCAACGTGAAACTCACAGTGCTCTCTCAAAGCAGAGCCCTATTTCCTGTGGTCAGTCTTGACAGAACCAGGCAGCGTTCTATTTATACTCTGTTATTTTTACACCTGGGTGGAGATTACAGAAACACCCGTTTTCACTGGTACGGAGTCTAAACACTTCGTTCACACTGACTCCTACTTTGGGTTGCGGTACTGTTCAATCTTGATTAGCTGGGCTTTCTGGGGTCAATACAGGCATTTCCATGTTATCATACTGCCGAGAATCCAAGAAAGCAAAGGTTACTACCGGGGATAGGTACGTGAATAATTTACTGAAAGAACATTAAAAAAGGAACCATTCGGATTTTCAATAAAACGTAGATAAAAGTATCTAAAATTATCCAGGCATATTTTTATTCCGAACGCCTCCAAATGAACGTTCATAAATTAAAACAAATTCTTAAAATCATGATGGCTGGAGATTAAACCGATACGGTTTCGAAGGGAAATGGACAGGGTGCGCCATTAATCACAGCGCATAAGTCTTCTCTCAAGGAACTAAGACCGGGAATGGAAAACACCACACAGCATGACACACCTGTAATCCTAGCAACTGGAAGACGGAGGCAGGCAGAACCCTGTCGTTAAGCCCAGCCTGGTCTACAGAGTCAGATGGGGCCAGCCAGGGGTAAAACTCAGGTCACCGGTTCTTGACAGCAAGCAGCTGGGCCATCTGGGCGGCCTGTTGTTCAAACCCACCCACCCTCTCTACATCTGTTAACTAAAGGGCTCTTTTATATAAAGGTCTGGCTTAAAAAACTGGACATATCGCTGTCCTATTAATTGTAAGAGGATCTCTGGTTTTTTTTGAGTCAATTGTGTTGAATTTTTAAAAGGCATCAATGTCATGGAGAAGAAAGTAAACTCGGTGACTTTATATGGCTGTAATGGTCAGTTTGGGTGGTCAACGTTACCCTCTGTGGATTCCCCTGATGGGAGGAGTCAATAAGGGATTGTTTACATTAGGTGGCCCTGCGTGGGAAGGAGTACCTGCCCACTGTGGGTGGTGTCACTCCCTAGGCAGTGTGTCATGATTATGGTAATCGAGGTGGGCGGGCCTGTCTGTCCACTGTGGGTGGTGCCATTCCCTAGGTAGGGGATTAAGCCAAGCACCAGCCTGTGGACGTACTGACCGGCTACCCCAGCTCCTGCTGCCTTGACTGCCTCATGGTAAAGGGCTATAACCTAGACCTGTGACCCTGATAAACCTTTTCTCTTCAAAAGTGGCTTATATTTTATCATAGCAACAGGAGAGTGGCCACTTAACAATTTGCTACTCAATCTGCGCAAAGCAGAAAGTTCGGTTTAAAGAGTGCACTGACGGCATCAGCTCCAGGAGTGGCAGGCAGCTTCAGTTCACACTGACGGTTGTGTCTACTGAGCGTTTGGGCTCAACCTTAACCGCGCACTGGCGTCACCAGGGGGCTGTGGAAACACTACTGCGGGTCCTAGGCTGGCGAGTCTGATACGATTGTTCGATTGTTCGTACAATCTGGAGGTAGGAATTCCCGAAAGTGCCCAGGCGGTTCCACTGTGTAGCTAAGCCTGAGACGTACTGAAGCAGGGTCTTCCCCAGAAGAGCGTTTAGAGAGACAGTGTGAGCATCTTCATAACTAGAGTGTTGAAAAGATGCTGCGCTGGCTAACTTGAGGCTGGAAGGCAAGGACAGCAAGGTGTGGAAAAAAACCCGAAATAAAGGATTGCTGGAAGAGGCGACATCCAGGACCAAGTTGAAGGATTAGGTGCCCAGAGCAAGCACACTCTAAAAAAGGAGTCCAACCTAACTTCCTAAGAGGGTGTGCCTCTCTCTTCACCAGCGACTGACTTTCAAGACCTTAAGCTAAATTGTAAATTCTGAGCAGACAGGGAAATCCCTGCCGTGTTTGCCTGTAGTACGTGGATCACATCAGGCAGTCAATAAAGAAATGCCGACTGTCTTATATGGCCCGTGAGGTGTACTGTGTCCGTGGAGAGCTGCTAGGGCTAGCTTTCCAAAGCTAATTACATCTTAGGACATCCTAGAGGACAAAGCTATCTGGACGTCTCAATATAAGCCCATTATCCTCTCAAAATAGTTTCAGTTGGGTATGGTGGTGTATGCCTGTAATCCTACCACATGGAAGGCAGAGGCAGGAGGATTGCCAGGAGCTCAAGTCTACTGTCAACCTGTAGTAAATTTCAGGCCATCCGAAGGTTTTGTGTGACATGACACTAAGAGCCTAGCTTATGAGCAAAAAAAAAAATTGTTCTCTGGCAAAATCAATGTGAAACCACAGTCTTTATTTTTAGGAGCATCATTAACTATTTTTTTCTTTTAATTTTCTATTAATATCTATGTTGAGCACTCAGCCAATTCAAGAAACTATTTAAGTTTCGATCAAGGCTGTACCAGCTAAGAGGTCCCTTCCCTTACCAAGGGCAAAGAGTGACCCTGACTCCTGCCTATTTAGTGGCAGTAATCTGAGATCGTGCTAAGGAAAATTTCAGTACGGTGACTTCTGACACACACAAGAATTCTCCCAAACCACAAACTTCCTGTTCTTTCATCAAAAGACCCGTAGCTTCCTTTGCTGATTTAGCCTAGGAGGCAGCAGCAAACCAGGAACTGTGCTAATGGCTGAGCATTCCAGACGAGGGCAGGGCCAGCTCCTACTCTTCCATCGAGGAAGGATCCCAGAATGTCCAGAAACTGGGGATGATGGTAAAATCAGGGAAACTGGAAACATTTGGGCTTTTTCAATTTCCAAATATTGGGAAACCCATGAGTTTGGGGAGGAAGGTAAGGAACTGACCTTGGTCTTAACCCTAATAAGAAAAAGGAGCAATAAAGAAGATATCAGGAAGCCAGGGACTCGGCCCTGTGTCGGCTGTTTAGTTACCTGACCTTCAGGATTTTATTTCCTCATCTGTCAAAGGGGAATAACAGCAACACCTGTGCAGTAGCTACAACAGTGTTTGAATTCAGTCAGTCCTTGGTGAGTTCCTACAAACAGTCCGTAGGGACGAAATCAGACTGAGGGAGAAGATACCACAGTATACAAGACTACTAACAGAATCTCCGAGGACTGTCTGGGTTAGTGCACAGGAATGCCTGGTTGCCTTTCCTAAGATTCTATGATCTTAATTTTTTTTGGAGGGCGTACATTCTTTGGGAGGTTATTCTAGGCAGGGATTGGTTCATAAACATGCAGAACTCATTACTGTGGGTGAGAATTCAGGGAGGGGACAGTGAAAAAACACATCTTAAACCAGACTAGAATAGTACTCCAAACCTGCCGCTAAAAGCCAAACGGAATAATTCTATACGAATATGTAATATTTAACCACATAGTCTGGGGCAGGCAAGAGCCTTCGAGCTTCTTCTGCCGTGGCATTTACTGCTTCAGATCACAGCGGGACGTGGCCTGGATGAGACTCAGGAGACACCGCCACGGACGGCAGGCTTCCCCATTTCCACGGTTTTTGATGCTTCATGTCTCAACCTACACATGACTGGATGGCCACAGACCTCAGTGTCCACATAACACAGCAGACACATCGCTGAGTAGAAATCTCGAAACTGAGAACACGTGTGTCTGCACGCATACACACCTGTGACTATACGTACACAGAGCTTGCCTGCAGATTCAAAGTATAGTTATTTATATAGTTATATATAAATAGTTATTTACATACTGCCCATACAATGTGACTTATTTCTAATTGTTCTACTTTAATAACGGTGGTACTAATTTAAAAAAAAAATCTTACCTCAAATATTTCAAAGCCATAAATGTCCAGAACACCCATGACCTTCTTTCTCACTTTGGTTTGTGCCTTTGAAAACATTTCAAGTTAATAAGTTAATACAGTCATAATATAATACCGGGAAAAACCATAAAGCACAGATTTACGTATTCGTTTTGAATTAGAACAATGATTCGGTTGCCCCGCTAAAGCTTAGGTAAGAGAACTGGTGTGGAATCGTTCAGAAACCCAGAAGAGATGTGCAGTCGTCAAAGGCTGCAGCTACTCTGGCCAGCAGAGCTTCCATGCTCACCTTGTCCAGTGCCCTCCCTCCCTCCCTCTAGTGAAGAACGTTTAGCCCCTAAGAGAGAAGCCATCTCTGTTCAGTGTGCTGCGTGCGAGCGCTCAGAAAGCTGCTGGCTGCTCTGCCAAGACCGGCAGACCAGGCTGGTCACTAGTGAGAAGCCGGAGCACACGGCCGAGAAGGGAAACAAAACCCTGGCAAATTCCAACTGAAGCGAGATGGAGTCATCTTAAGGAATCAGCTTTGAAAGTGGCAATCAACTACTTGGTTGTAAAATTCAGCTTCTTTAAGTTAATGTTGACACTGTGAATACCACTTCTATATTACGACTGGCGTCTTCCAGAGATTCGGTACCTTTATGCTCTCGTTGATGCGATTTACCAACCACGAGAACAGCCTGCTGTAGAGGTTTTTAGCCAGGGCATCACGGGCATAATAAGCCTATTAAAGAAAGAAAAGAATCATTTCACACTAACAACTGTCACAATGCTTAATTTCTATAAAATAACGAAAATACTTTAAAAATATTCAGGCTATTTATTTCAAATTTCTCTTTGGGGCAATTTTTATTATACACTGGATGAGTAGTTGAAGTGTAAGAGAATCAGGCAGACTTTTCATCAGGTCTCCATTTCTGCATTCCAGGAAATGAATTCCAAATATCACAGACAGTTTTTCCCCAGTTTTACACAACAAAGGAAAACCGGGCGTGCACAACAAGAATAGGAAAATAAACGCTTGTGGAAGAGATGTATTACACGGTTGTTGTAAAGAACTGCTGTGGAATTAAGGAACTAAACATTGCGTTGTGTGAAAGGAATTGAATAAGCTGTACCCTTAACACAGTAACCACCCCCGATACAAACACAAAGGAAAGAAAACAAAACAGCTCAGACTAACGCAATCAATTAACTTTTTTTTCTTCCTTTCAGCTAAAACCTAATTCTTTAACCGAAGAGATACAGAAGGAAATCCAGCGCTGGGCGGTGGTGGCTCACACCTTTAATCCCAGCACTCAGGGGTAGAGGCAGGCAGACAGCCCGGTTCGAGGCCAGCCTGGTCTACACAGTGAGTTCTGGCACAACCAGGACTGTTCTACAGAGAAACCCATCTAGAAAAACAACAAACAAACGAAACAATAAAAAGAGGAAAGAGAAAGTATAATTGATGGAATACTTGGGAAAGAATTTAGAATATTTCAGAAGATGAAAAGCAGAGAAAGAAGGACGCCGTAGAGAGATATAAAGTTTCTAAAAACTGGGGCCGACAGAGAGTCGGCTCAGGAGAGAAAGCCCTCCGCCCCACCAGGCCCACCAGCCTGTGTTTAATCCCTTGTGTCTCAGACAGTGTGGAAAGCAGGAATAAGGAATAAACCTAGAAAATCTGCTAGAAGTTGGAGAGAGAAGGAAGGAGGGCAGGGAGAAGGAACGAGATAGGAAGGGGAAGAGGAAGAAGGGAAGAAAACGGGAGAAGAAAGTGGGGAGAAGAGAAGAGGGGAAGGAGAGAAGGAAGAAAGGGGAGGGGAGAGAAGGGGAGAAGAGAGATAGGAAAGGGAAGGGGAGGAAAGGGAAGGAGGGAAAGGCAGGGAGGGGGAAAGGTAGGGGAGGGAAAAGGGATGGGGTGGGGAGAGAAGGAGAGGAGAGAGAAGGGGAGCGATAGCAAGGGGAGGGAAGGGAAGGAGGGGGAGGGAAGGGAAGGGAAGGAGGGAAAGGTAGGGGAAAGAAGGGAAAATGGAGAGAGACTGCGGTCGTGGTGAGATTCCACAGCAGAAATCAAAAACAAAGTATGCAGCCCCAAGAGAACTGAGATGCGCATCTCCCGTGTCTAACAGCCGTCTGTGGGGTTTCCACTGCCCTGAAACAGGTGATTTAAGTGTGGGGTGCTTGTACACAGTTGTGTTAGAACTTCTGAGGTATCCAGTTCTATAACTAGTATCCGTTACTGTCATTTCCTGATCCCTTCCCTCTTCTTCTTGTGACTCCAAGTCATCTCCAAATACCTCTCACTTACCAAACATCCTTCCTATCAGCAGTTACCCAGCTGCCCACCCTCTGGCCCCAACAAAGCACCCTTGTGATGGGCAGCGGGAACTGGGTGACACTATGCTCCCAAGTGCTGTTGTATAGTTCTGAGGGTAAAGTCACAGCCAGAACTCTCTTCTTCTCAGCTTTCACACAAATGCTCTATTTCGGAAGTCACAAATTCAAATGCTTTTAGACCGTGACAGAAATGTACAGGAAGTGGGGAGGGGAGAATCTGGAGGGCCGGAGGATGGATTCTAGATGAAGGCACGCAAACTCTCAATTTTAAAAAGCAGTTAAAATAAAAACCAAACTATCCAGTGCCCAAGTAAAGTCTGCTTCTGATGCTGAGCCTGGTGCCGTGGGCCGCTACTCTTGCTATGCTGACGCCCCAGAAACGGAATCAAACCACATGCTCTACGCCAGAAACCCAAAAGCAGGGAGGGCAGGGACACCGGCCCCCATCTAAGGATCGCTACTCTGCTGTATGGAAAGGAGGAGCACACCAAGGGTGATAATTCACTGCCTCAGACCCCAAGCACACAGGGAAAATGTCTGCTTTTCTGCATCTGCTGGATGCCCAGGGAGGAAAAGCCCTGGTGCCATCTACTTCCGAGAGGCTGGGATGGGAAGTGCTAAGTAGGCAAGGTGGGATACAGATGGGGGGGAGGCAGCCGCAGAGCAGCAGAGATCACCTAGATCACCACAAAGACCTCACTCAGTACAGAGAAGAAAGAGGTCAGGAGATGGGGGTTTAGGAGCCTATTTCATCAGGCAAATCTCTCTGTATAGAGAACAGTCACATGAACCCCACAGACGGGCAGAAGCAAGGAGCAATGGCATACGGATGGTGGACAAACAAGAGGAAAAACACCAAGAAAAAATAAACTCGGGTCTGGTGGTGGTGGTGGCACAAGCCTTTAACCTCAGCACTTGAAGCAGAGGCAAGCAGATCTCTGTGAGCTCAAGGCCAGCCTGGTCCGCAAGAGCTAGTTCCAGGGCAGCTAGGGCTACACAGAGAAACCCTGCAAAAAAAACCAAAACAAACAAAACACTCAGATAAGTCACATCAGTGGAGTCAGATTACAGAGGGCCTGAGTCTAAGCAGAGCATCATGGTAGATGCTGGACAGCCTAAAAGAGGAACTGGGTCTGGTTTCTGGAGAGGATGAATAAAAGCAAGAAGATAATACCAGAAAAGCAGATCCCTAGTCCACGTATTTCCACGGCCTCTGAAACACAGGCCTTCTGTGGCCTCACTTCATACAGAACAACCCTTCTGGCTGCTAACCTAGTTGGATGGCCTCTCTCAAATGTGAGCCTGCGGCAGGCAGTGTACCTTTGCTTGTATCAGAATCCCAACTTCTTTAGTGCTAAACCAGACCGCAGGACCCCACCTCTCGGGAGGGATAGACAGACAGAAGGATCCTAAGACAAGCCACCCAGGTAACTATGACGAATGTCCAAGTCTGAGCCCCACTGCATGCATTCTCTGGGTCCAACTTGACCTTCCCAGGCATGTTGTGAATCCTGACTAAACCGGAGCCCAGGCTGGCTGGCAGATGGATATTCTTTCCCAGGTAAATCCTATCTGTCCACAGAGCTCTTCTTAGTCTTGGTTTCTCCAATATGGGTTTGTGGGGGTACGTGCTCTGCATATTTTCTCAGTGAGGTCAGTTCTCCCTGACTGAGGAGTCAGCTGACTCCAAGAGATTTGAAGGCCGAAGCCATCACTTACAGGAATGAGATCGGACTGGATAAGTCCGACTCTGCAGCTTCCCAGCGGCTGGCGGCTAGGTGTAAGGAAGAGAGACCAGAAGACACAATAGTGTGTAAAGGAAGCAGACCCAAGTGAAAAGCCCTGAGTTGGCCATTTGATTACAGCCCAGATCAGCACTGACAGGGAGAAAAATGTCAAACTCAACAGACCAAACAGTTCACGCCACGAGGGCCTCCAGATGCAACCTGAATGTGCTTAGGTTGCATACGCATTGCACACGCATCTGCAGAAGCAACTCAGATTCGGGTCTTAGGAAGAGTCCAGTGGCATAGTTGGGGTACAACATAGAAGACAGAGAGTCTGCCTTGACCATCTGGGCTTCTCCTGTCTACCTGTTTCTTCTCTGAATCAACCGCCCTCCCTTCACTCTTCTTCCACCAGGCATTAAACCGTCAGCAATTCCGTAGCCTCGAGTTCAAAGCAGGTCCAGACAGGTCCCATGCCCTGGCTTCAATGCAACCATCTGGGTCTGGACTGGCGAGTGCTCCGCCAACTGCCCTTCTGCTCTGTTTCCCCTAGGCTCTGCTCTTGACAGCCAGTCAGAGGGACCCTTTGAGACACGAGGAGGATCATAGATCGTACCCATCTCTGCAGGATGCTCTCTCTGTGCGATTCCCAGATCACTTTCAATCATAAGCATCATCTTCCTTCCTGTCCCTATGGATATCGATCTTCCTCATCCCGTTCTATCTCTCTCTGTCACTGTACTCAGCAACTGCTGCTCGCTAGATTACTTACGGCATCTACTGACCATTACCCTATTCTCCAACACCACCCTAATCTGTTTAGTTTTCCTTAGTGTTGCCAATGCCTAGAACGGTATGTGGAATATAGCCTGACCATGAGGTAACTAACTGTCTGCAAAATAACATATGCCATAAAAGTATCATCACGTAAGGAACCTTTTCCTCTGCATGTTACAATTCACCCACCTGAGCCACGTTCAAGGTGGTCGAAACTTTCTCCTGCTTTGCTTCGACGGTCCGGAAACTAAAGGCTCTTTCTAGAACCAACTGATCGATGCTGGTCAGTTCGCAGATTTCTTTTAACTCTGTTGGGGAGCAGAAGAAGACGGGCACAAACAGTGAGGTACCCGTGGTCACTATCAAGCCCTCGGCTGTTCTTTCTACATCACGCTCGGCACGTAAACAGGTACGAACTAGAGAAGGGCAAACATCATTGCCACGGGGGGTTTCGGTTTAGTTTCGCTAGTAAATTCTTTCAAACTGATGGGAAGCCCAAGGTTGGCTTTCTAGACTAGAGACTGGGCAGCAGTTCAAAGCAGGAGCCCCGAGTCAGGGGATCCCCCACTGACTGACCGTTTTTATCTTTGATTTTGCTCTCATCCAGGCCATTCACTCGAGACTCGGGCTTGAACTCGATGTTCCCCAGCTTCAGGACGGCGGCCACGACCTCCAGGACCGACTCGGTTTCGTGGTCCGTGAAGCCCACGATCTGCATGGCGTTCTGAGGAGAGAGAGGGGCACCTGTTTGCCTTCTGCAGCTGTGTGTCTGTGGGTGTTTGCTTGTTTTCAACATATAATGAAACCTAATAAATTCTGCTACTACAGATTTACTTCTGGGGTAAAAAAAAAAAAAATTAAAACACAAAACAATTATCTTGCTCCGTGGTTCCAGACTGTGACTTCAGAGCCTTCCAGGCACACTTAATGGCAGAGTTGTGTACACAAGAGGAGGCTGGGAGTTGAGCCTCAGCCCCCCCCCCCCCCCCCGTTTCAAATCAACCAGCTGGTTTCCATACATGTCATCTTTTTTTTTTTTTTCCACACAGGGATTCTGATTCTAGAAATAAAGCCAAACAAGATGTCTCTACAGCCGTCAACAACAGAAACAGCCCTTGCTTATTTCACAGATGAGAAGAACCCTGGCCTGCAAAGGTGAAGAACCCCGGAGGGTCCCAGGGACACTCACTCATTCACAAATGTGCACCGAGTGCCAAGCATGTGCCAGGCAGAGTGGTTACAGAGCTGGCCTTGGATGCAAGTCTTAAAACAAAAATCACGTCCGGACTATGGCTTCCATATGCCGGTGTGTATACAGCTCTACAAATGGCTTTCGTCCTGACACCAGCTGGTACTACTCTCCTCCGTACGTGTGGCACTAGTTTATACAGCGGTGAGAGTTATGGACACTTTGGGTTATGGAAATCTCCAAACGTATACACAAGTAGCAGGAATGAGGAAAACACCCCGCATCCCCTCCATTCTGCCTCAACATTAACGGGTGCCAATCTGGCTTCGTCTGTCCCAGCCCCGCTCCTCCCCGCAGCCTCAGCTGTCCCACTGCGAAGTAGAGCCCAGGGACCATGATGTCAGAGAGTGTATGCCACATAAAGCCAGAAAAGAGAGGATTGCGCAGAAGTCAGCTTCTTTTCTAGAATGAGGAACTCGAACTCTTCTGACACGTAAATCCCCCGAAAAACAGGATTTTCTGCCTGAAAACACTTTGGACTTAAGAGGACCCAAGGGCAGTTTTCATATTTGTGAAATTAGCTTTGGCTATAAAAACACATGGAATTTCAACACACACCAAGAGTCAAGTCCCAGAACAAAAGATGCAGGCTCCTTTTCACCAATGGTAAAACAGCATGCTCTAGTGAACATGGCCTTCACAACCTGGGGTGATTAGTGAGCGGGTGCAAACCCGCATGAATGAAAACGCAATGAATTCTCTAACCTGGGGGATGCACAATGAACGCGTCTAACCCGGGGGGGGGGGGGGGGGCGGGATAAACGACAATGCAGAGAAAACTGAACTGGCAGCGGTACTGGCTAAGCAACGGGGCTGCCCATTCTCAAGCACGGAGAAGGCACTCCTCTTACCCTGACAGTTCTGAAATTAGCAGCATCATCCACACCGTTAACTTTGGCGGAGTCCAGGCTCAGGTAGTTGTATCTGCTGAAATCCCGCTCCAGCTTCAGCTTCTCTGTGGAGTCAGGCACGCAAAGCGATACGTTAGGTCAGGAAATGTATTTCAAATGACTGACCATATGGACAGAGATCAATAGCAGTGATTCTCCCAAGCCCACTTTTGTTACTGCTGAGCATTTATTATTGCATGGAAAATATTGGGATGGAGGATAGCTAAACACAAGGGGGTGGAAAACGTCCTTCATATAACTTGGGCTCACATGAATCATTATGATATACCCCATAAAGTGGTGTGACTGGCTACAGACTGACCATCCGGTGATTCTTTGGAAGATTGCTACCAACAATCGGGCGCACTCATTAGATCAGTAAATTCCAAGTCTAGACATCAGAACACTCTTCCTAGCTGTTCCTTTCCGCGCTTCCGCTAGTATATGCCGAGTGGGTAACTCAGTGTGTTTTAGGGTGCATGTGCCGACTGTTTGTTGCTGTTGCTTGTTTTAGCTTGTTTCTGGAGACAGGGTTTCTCTGTGTAGCTTTGGAGCCTGTCCTGGCATTCGCTCTGTAGACCAGGCTGGCCTGGAACTCACAGAGACCCGCCTGCCTCTGCCTCCCGAGCGCTGGGATTAAAGGCATGCGCCACCACTGCCTAGCACAACTGTTGACTATTCCATGGTGACGAGGGTTAATTTTCATTGTCAACTGAATTTAGATCGCCTCAGACACCTCTCGGTGTTCTGAGAGAGGTTTAACAGAGTGAGAATAGACTGGATAATATGTGGGTGGAGGCATCCATGGGGCCCAGAGCGAGCCTCAGGAACGCCAGCATTCACCTCACGGTGCTGCTGGTCTGCCTAGGTGTGAGCAGTCATACAGTCAACTGGTACAAGTGCCAACACGGTTACCACCACTGCCATCCCTGTGTTCCTCGGACCCTGAGCCAAATCACCTTCCCGCTCTTACGCGGCTTCTTCCTAAGTATTCAGTCACAGAAAGAAGAAAAGTAACGGACAGAGCGTGTCTCTCTGAGTGCGAGCGGTTTTCCATAGCTCTTCTTGCTTTAACTGTTTGATGGCGTAGCCAGCAGCAATTAATAATTTCCTTGTGATCTTATGTTAATGCCACAAAAATCTCCGAAGGTCAGATGGTTAACTCTTGTATGGCCTCAAATATCTTCCCTAGGACTTTAAAAATTATTACACGTATCCATTTTCTCTGTACACTTGTGAAGGCATGTATGGTAAGTACATGCATTTGTAGCATCGTGGCAAGGGGGTAGAGTCAGGACAGCTTGTGAGAGCTGGTTCTCTCTTTAAACCATGTTAAGTCCAGGAGGCAGAACTCAGGTTAGCAGACTTGAATGCAAGTGCCTTTACCATTGAGACATCTTGCCCACCCCGTTCCCCATGGTTTTTAAAATCCTCACTCAGAAAACTCTTCCATAATCGTAGGCCTTTATCACACATTGCCAATTTTCTTCCCATAAGTGTTATGGTCCTCTGTTTCACTTTTAAATGTGTGAACGGTCCTTCCCTGACCAGAAGGCTCCCCTAACACGCCTGAGGTGTATGACTTGGTCCCTGGTGAGATGCGGACATAAGACAGAGGAGCAAACAGAAGATGCAACGAGAATGCCAACAGGGAAAACATACGGGAACGTGTGGCGTAGAGAAGGCTTCAGGAATCGCTGCGACAATAAAAAGCAAATAGAACCGCGGACTTACGGAGCAGCTCCTCAGAGGCGCCAGAGAGCAGCTGATAGAAGACGTGGAAGTTTCTTTCGCCTCTTGGCTGCTTAACGACACGAGATTTCTCTAAGAGATCTAACAGGAAAAAAAAAAAGAAAGAAGAAAATTAAATTGCATAAAATCCGTTTTGCCTTCAACTATGACTAATTCTTGCTTCCTCTTTCGTTACTTTATACTACTAAAATAAAACAATAAAAGAAGTTATATTTTAAGGGCTTCCTCGAAACAGAAGCACAACTCGACTAAAATCACCAACATAGGCAGTTATTCCCAACAGACCCGTTCAGGATAATAGCTCTTAACACTAGTATCCTATTAGGCGTTTGATGGTCACATTAAAGTTTCAAAAATATAACGTCGCAAATGTAAGCACCGAAAAGCATCCTTTCATACTCCACATCTTAATTATGAAGTGAACAGACAAACTGCCGGGCCCTGGGTGTGAGTGTTTCTTGAACAGTGTCTTGTTTCAGTGGGTCTCACTGCACAGCTGAGCACACGGGCAAGGCTATCTGGGGAAGCCAGATTTGAAATCAGACCACCCGACAACACACGTCTTCCGGGCTCCACGTATGCCCTTTGCCTTTCGGCAGAATTAGAGCGGGTTCTCTAGATCACCAAAGTTTGAGGATCTTGTGTCACCTGGCCCTATTCATTCACTGGCTCCAGACACTTTTCCCTCTCTTAAACACACGGTCTCGTCAATTTTTCACACTCAGCAATGACAAACTAACAAACCAGAAAGGAGGCAGTTCTCCTCCTGCCTAGAATCCCACTAACCCCTCACCAGAGACACAGAAACCCAGCCAAGCTCTGCTGGCAAAAGCTAATTTTAAGACGTATCCTTATAAACGCACGCTTTTAGCTACACAACACCGTAGCGATGACATTCTAAGCCATCGGTTCTCTTTACTGATGTTCCCGACACACTTAGTCCTAAACACATTGAAACCCAGATGCTATTGAACTGGGTGTGAAGTCAAAGGGAGAGCACCGTGAAGGTTCCCGAGGGAACGCTCACTGATCTTCTTCATTTGTGTTTGTGGCATCTGCAAGGGCGTTTGAGGATGCAGGGAGGGAAGAATTTAACACTGCAGAGCCACAGTGAACGGGGACCTAGAAGGCTCTAAATACATCTGGTTGCTTCTAAGAACAAAGAGATGAAGCCGGGAGGTGGTGGCGCATGCTTTTAATCCCAGCACTTGTGAGGCAGAGGCAGGAGGATCTCTGTGAGTTTGAGGCCAGCCTGGTCTACAAGAGCTAGTTCCAGGACAGGCTCCAAAAGCTACACAGAGAAACCCTGTTTCAAAAAACAAAACAAAGAGAACAAAGAGATGGGAGGCAAAACCTATCTATTCCAGATTAGTTTATGTTCGTCTCCAGCTGTCACAAGACTTGGGTGACCGCAAGGTCTCCCCAAACTGTGGTAAAGCAAAAAGTAGGGGTAAAAAGTGAGAAGCACAGATCAATACAACTCAGGGGTAAAGACAGCGGATAATATTCGCCATCTGTAAAGAAATGGAATTTATGGGCTGGAGAGATGGCTCAGAGGTTAAAAGAACTGACTGCTGTTCTGGAGGTCCTGAGTTCAATTCCCAGCCACCACATGATGATTCACATCCATCTATAATGAGATCTGGTGCTCAGAACACTATAGACATAATAAATAAATTAAAAAAAAAAGAAATTTCAGGCCATTAACATATATCCACGAGTGCAGAAAAATAAATAACTAAAAAGACAGTATGGTTCTATTTCTCAAGTGGTCAAGCTTCTGAGAGATCCTGGCAGAAGTTAGTGTGCAATTCTGGGAACAAAGAAGCCAGGGGCAGATTCCTCACAGAGAAGCTAATCCTCAAAGAAGTCCCCACGCCTTGAAGAAAGTAACTGACTACAGGAGGAACACAAACAAGGGCCATATTCTGCTTTGTTCATTCACACACAGATTCCTGCAGCGGAATCACCGCCCACTCGGCACCGGGAACAATTCAGCAATCAGCAAACAGGAAGGCTTTCTTTCTCTGGTCAGTGACCGCGCCACACACACCAATACAACAACAGCCTTTCCAGGTGAGATGAGACACGGACAGCTGGGGAATGACTCAGTGGACAGAGCACGTGCCAAGCACATATGTGGGTCAGAGTTCGGATACCCGGAGGGCAAGGAAAACCAAGATGTGGCAGTGCATGTCCGGTGAGATCGAAGGAGCGAGGAGAATCCCCAAAATCTCAGGAGTTAACTGCCTGGTACTCCAGCAATGACTATGATGCCCTGCCTCAGACAAAGGAGAGGACCAACTCCGGAAATCTGACCTCCGCACAAGCACCATGGCACACGCGTGCATGTGAGCACAAGCACACACACACACACACACACACTTCCAGACAGAGACCACAAGCTGCTCATGACTGAGAGGGTGAGGAAGGCAGAGTAAGTGAAGAACCCAGGTTTTACAGATCCCTAAGAGCTTGGCCACACCCTGGACACACTGGACACCTCCCAAGCCTGCTCTTCTCACCCAGCAGTAACAGTGGCACCGCTGTTACAGAGACGAACGTTCTCGGCAGCATGGACACGTTCTCTCCTACACATCGAGACACAAAATAAGACCTTCAGAAAGCACGTGACTCATGGGCTGCACTGTGCGGCTGCCATGGGCTACTGAGCCGGGCATTCGGCCGCTTTGAAAATGTTGATGACAGAGAGTGTAGAAACAGCGGCGGCTGTCAGGCTCAGCGACGGCTGTGGGATCCATCGCCGTTAGCGCCAGCGAGTTAAAGGCCAGCAATGTGACAAAGAACGCGGACCCACAAATGTATTGATATGGTCGGAAGTGATCGCCGTATTCAAACGAGACTCTCGGTGCGTGTGTTTAAAAGGAGAGGCACAAAAGGGAAACCGAGGTAGAACTTCACCTTCCTTTCCCCCTGGGAGCCTACGCAGCCCTGAGTGCTGGCCCTGAGGTTGACTCTGTCACCTCCACCCTGAAGACAAGAAAAGGAGCTCATGCCGCACTGGTTGGAGTGTGAACCCGGAGCTTTGGTTACTGAAGCTCATACTTAGCTAAGCTCTGTCGTTGTTGGGGGAGGGGAGGCGCAAAACTCTTAAACATTTGGGAAATGATGGACTTTATACGAAATCCATGAATTCACTAAGCAACTGTCTCACAAAATGAGGCAGCTTTTATTGCGAAGCAGTTGAAGGTTTTTACTACTCACAAGGCTTACTCTATTACCCTGGAGCCTGTTTCGGGTTCTTTACGACTTTTCACGTAAGTCATAAGCTTCCAGGTAGAAAAGGAATTAGAGGAGATGCCTGCCCCCAGATAATTCACGCATCCTTGAAGCCACTCCCTGTTCGGTGGTTTTGCTAAATGTGCATGTACCAACATAATCAAACAGCATGAGATCATACCAAATAATTACTCAAAGCAGAGAATATAAGCTCCATTCACTGGAGGGACTTCTCACCTGACCATGTTCATTTACTTAAATGCTCCCTGAATGAAGGAGAAACAGAACTCAGCACGGTTCTTCTCCACCAGGGGAGCGCCTGCAGCATGGGCCGGGCCTTTGCTAGGGAGATTTCGAGGACTTAATGCCAGATCCCTGGTACAGCAGCATCCGTGAGAATGTCCAGAACCCCCAATGCAACCGCATCTCAAGATGTAAAGATCGCCATAAATTCAGATTAGAGAGAGATAAACTTATTAAGCCATACGGGAATAGGGACAAAGGAAGACTGGGCCAGAACTTGCCCTCCTACTTAGCAGGCCATCACCCACGAAGGACTGACAGAAGGACCTGTTCTGCGCTTCAGGGGCTATCTGCTTCTTACATTTTAGCAGCTAAAATTTATATGATGCACAGGTACCCACTCATCTGGGAGACCACCTTCCCTGAGCACACCGTCAGAGGAACACCCATGACTGCACTCACTGAAAACGAAAGCTTTTGAAAACAGGCGAAAGAATGAAAATGAGTAAAAAGAATAGAAGGGGTGGGAAGAAGAACTCTCATTACCCTGGGGCATAATAAAAGGATTACAAGCCTAGAAACAAAAAAGTATCTTTGTTTTATACACAATCTCTCTCCCAGGAAAAGCAGGGCCCCTGAACGAAAAAGCAGGAGCTGTGGGCACTGCCCTCAGCGGCCCCATCTCCAACCGTCCTCGGTGGTCCCCCCATCTCCAACCGTCCTCGGTGGCCCTTCATCTCCAGTTGTCCTAGGTGTCCCCCCATCTCCAAATGTCCCTGTTTCCCTCCCATCTCCAACCGTCCTCGGTGGCCCCCCCATCTCCAACCGTCTTCGGTGCCCCCCATCTCCAACTGTTCTTGTTGGTCCCCATCTCCAATTGTCCTAGGTGTCCCCCCATCTCCAACTGCCCTCCATGTCCCCCATCTCCAATTGCCCTCAGTAGCCCCCATCTCCAACTGTGCTCGGTGTCCCCCCATCTCCAACTGTCCCCGGTGGTCCCCCATCTCCAACTGTCCCTGGTGGTCCCTTATCTTTACTGAAGTGTTTGCTGTCCCTCCCTTCCGGTCACTGTCCAGATGGACAGGAGGGAACGTGAAGGTTTTATTTATAACTGTCCATCCAAGCCAGTGGATGTTTAGAAGTTAAGGAAAAAATTAATATCTCATTAGTGGTTGCTACTACAGTTAGCTCAGAAAAGAATATCAAAGAAGAAAACAAACAAGAAAAAAGAAAACAAGGATAAGGGCGTGTTCAAGCTCTTGAAGAGGCCTATGAAGACGCATCTTTGTCTCAGTTCCCCAGCGAGGACAGGATAACGCTGCAAGCCCATGCATTAATGAAAATGCTGACTGCTCCTGAGACCCCACGCCTTCCCTCCAACTACCCAATCACCAGGAAATACTCAGCAGAACTCAGTATTTTTACTGGAAAATCCTAAATATGAACATGGGTTTACTTATCTTTTAGGGGTCAGATTTTAAATCAATACCATCCTTTTAAAGATGCTGGAATACCGGAGGCTCACGTAAGGGTTGGTAGGCATAGCCGAATGCTCGTAATTATAGCCAAGAAGGCTTCCAGTAGCTATGCTGGCCAGC